AATGCTCCAAACTTGAGTGAAGAATCCAGTTCATAATCTCCATACTTAGTTGGCAACTTAATGTGCCTGGATGGTCTTTTGTTCACTTCTGTGCTGGGGTCATCAGGATCAACATCAGCTTGGGGATGAAGTTCCTGCTTATCAGAATCAAAATATGTGTGATGGTCATTCACTTCAGTAAGTGGCACAACTGGCTCAGTAGGAGATACTTCAGGAGACATCTCATGCTCAGAGTTCCCCCCTTCATCTATGGATGAAACAAACTGAGAAGGAGATGCATCAAGAGAAAAAGGAACTGTGAGGGATGGAGGATTTGTAGCAGGAGGTGGCACATGGGAATTGGGAGGATTTGCAGGAGGAACAAGAGTGGCTTGAGGCTTGAAAGGAATGATATTTTCATAGAAAGAGACATTTCTGGAGAAAAACACTTGTTTACTGTGAATATCCAGAACTTTGTAGCCTTTAAGGCCTGAGGAAATTCCAATGAATACACACTGCCTAGCCCTTGGGGCAAATTTTGTTCTTCCATGCACCAGTGTATTAGCATAGCAGAGGCATCCAAAGACTTTCAAGTGTCCCATGAAGGGTACTTGCTTGTATAACACTTCATAAGGTGTTCTGTTTTGTAAAATTGGGGTTGGCATTCGATTTATCAAATAAGCTGCATGTAAAACAAAGTCACTCCAGTAAAAGAGAGGTAACCCTGGCTGGAACTTCAAGCACCTAGCAACATTGAGTATGTGCTGGTGTTTTCTCTCCACCCTTCCATTCTGTTCTGGTGTTTCAACACAAGAAACTTGGTGTTCAATCCCTGCTGAACTGAAAAACTCACACATCTCAAATTCCTTGCCCTGATCTGTTCTGATCACTTTAACATATGTATGGAATTGAGTGTGGACCAAGTTACAGAATCCCTTAATCAACTCCCTTACTTCACTCTTATGCTTCATCAGATACACCCACACACAACGAGAGAAATCATCCACAACAGTCAAAAAGTAAGAAAAACCATCATATGAAACTGTGGAAAGAGGACCCCAAATATCCATGTGTACCAAATGAAAAGCCTCGGGTGCCAAACTGGTGCTAACAGGGAAAGGAAGTTTGCGTTGTTTGGATAAGTGACATACATCACAATGTGTAGTTTTAGTTCTAGCTACTGAGGGAATTACATGGCTAAGTAAAGACTGCCTATCATGACTTGGGTGTCCTAGTCTCCAGTGCCACAGGTTCAGGTCTTGTGGATTGAAGTTGAAAATGGGAGCTGCTTGGTGTTGGTGTTGAGGAACTGATGAAGTGGAAGGCTTGGATTGTCTTGAAGGAAGGACAAGATGATAGAGACCTCTAGTTGTGTGGGCTAAACCAATCCTCTTCTGGTTTAAGAGGTCCTGGATTTCACATTTATCAGAATGGAAGTGTAAGGAAAAAGGGTTATCAAGGGTAAGTTTACTAACAGAAACGAGATTAAAAGAAAATTGTGGCACTAGGAGAACATCATGTAAGGTTAATCCACAATCTAGTTTCACTGTCCCTATGCATGTGACAGTGACTTTGGTGCTATTAGGGAGATAAACAAAGGCATTCTGGACTGGAGTATAACTAGAGAATAGTGAAAGACTACAGGCAATATGATCTGATGCCCCTGTGTCCACAATCCATAAGGTTAGGTCTTGTGTTTTAGAGGTTTGGGAAGAGGACAGAACATGTTTACCTGAAAAATGAGGGAATGAAGTGGGATATTGGGTGGCTGAGTAGGCTTGGTGGGTGATGGATGGGGAAGTAGGTGGAGAGGGCTGAGTGTTAGCACCAGTCTGTAGCAAGTATCTGAGGCGAGTCATTTCCTCTGCTGTGAAGCCAATAGGTGCTGCTGAATTGCTCTCATTGATCACACTGCCTTCTGATGCACTCTCATTCCCACTCCCTTGAGAGATAGAGCCAACAAACCTCGGTGTGCTGGAGCTTGAACCAGAACTGGTAGAAGAACCCCCATTACCTCCACCTTCTCTTTGCATTTCCTGCTTCCTCTTCAGCTTCCAACAATCCTCAATGTTGTGGTTGTTCATCTTACAAAATCGACAAAACTTCTTTCCCCTTGTCTCAGTATTCTCTCTTGAGTTGTTACCTCCAACTGCTAAAGCCAGACTTTGTCCCTTCTTTCCTGCCACAGCATTGTCTGCTTTCAGTTTCTGCTCATGCTGTAGCAGATCATCCACTGTCGTTGGTACTGTGGGTAGTGGCTTTTGCAAGAGTAGTTGTGTCTTAATCACATCATAATCAGAGTTAAGACCCCTTAGGAATCTAACCAGATAATCAGTCTCCTGCTTCTGTATGAAGGCAGCCACAGCTGCACAGGGCATGGGATTTCCAGGAGCACAAGCACATGGAACTATTGGGCTAAATTCCACATACTCGTCCCATAGACCCTTAATAGCTGTGTAATACTGAGTTATAGATCTGGTACCCTGCTTACAAGCTTGAATTTCATCTTCCAGGTTCAGGATTCTAAGGGCATTGGGTTAGCCAAAACGCCTTTTTAACTCTTCCCAAAATGCCTTAGCATTTGTATGATTCAGTACTGACCTCCTAATCTCCTTAGTCATCGAGTTCTGTAACCAACAGAGGACTACAGTATTACAAGCATCCCAAAGACTAAACATATCTGCTTCACGGGGAGGAATTGGAACTGACCCATCAATAAAACCCAGTTTGTTCTTCGTTTTCAAGACTACTTGTATAGATTTACTCCACATAACATAGTTTGTCCCATCAAAGGACTCTGCAACAAGAGATTGAGACATGTTCTCGTTGGGGTTGAGATAATAGGGATTACCAAAGACAACTGTCTCTGATTGCAGTTGGTTCTGGTTGAAGGTTCCAAAACGGAAACCAGTTGCACCTGTGGTCGTTGTTGACGCGCTTCCGCCGGTTCCATTGTTCGGCGGCGTGTTAGGTGGAGTCTGCGTTCCCGACATTCTGTCGTTGGCGGCGGAAAAACCCTAGAGCTCGTTGAGCTCTGATACCATAACAATTTCGTAGGACAAAATGGAGAAGAAGCTCAGCTCATTCTGAGTCTCCCTTCAGCTTATATAGTTGGTGTTCGATTAACATAAACGAGACAGGTGTCCTTACATGATTGGTCCAAATTAAACAAACAGTAAAGCTTAACGGCTAAGTGCAAAGTAAATAAAACGCTGCCGTTCTCTCACAACATAACAGCTAAACATGAAACGAAGCCGTTTCAGTCTTCTTCCTCCTTCCTTGCATCACGAATCCTTCCCCAATCTGGATTAGTGCTTCTGCAGTTCTTCTCTTCTGATTTCCTCCATCTTCTCTTCGATTCTGTCAGATGTTGTTAGAAAAGAGTGAAAAATGAAGAGAGAAGTGGAGAACCCGCCTGACATTCTTAGGACTGGCTTCTGACCACCTTGAACAAGTTCAAGACTGAAGGTGTCACCGAGCTTCAGCTCATTTTCCATCTAGAAAACTCTCCAACCTCGCATGACGTAAGCACTGAAATCGTGTTTACATTAGCAGTTAATCCTTACCAGCCACGATCTGCCCTCTTCGTTCAGAACAACCGCCTTAGTGTTGGTAACATTCAGCCCATTCATCTTGACAAAGTTCCCAGGTACACGCTGCTTACAAGTTACAATTGCAAACCTTGAATGTCTAAACAATTGTAGTCTTACCATCTAAAAGTCCAAACTAAAGCTTTTTTGGGTACAAACCAGTCTGCCCCTTTTGAGATTGTCAGGATGTATGGACACCATAAAGGAATCAACTTTCCTTCGATCATGATTTCGGTGGCCGCCATGGGTGAGACGGTGACAACGACGGCGAAGCGAGGGATGAAACCCTTCATCAACGGCTTCTCGAATCCCGATCACCACCACCGGCGGAGGAGATGCTTCCGATGAGAGTTTGTTCAATTTAATTATAATTGTTTTTTTTAATTTTTAATTTATTGTGATAATGAGATGGTAATTGTAAAAAGTTTAAATTTTATTTTTTATTATTTTGTAATTGCCACGTCGCTTATTTAACGGTCAACTCTCAGAGTTGACTGCCACATCAGCCAAAGTTAACGGAGAGTGACCAAACTTGAACTGTTTACCTAATTTAAGTGACTACGGATGGAATAAAGTAATTTAAGTGGCTAACGTAAATTTTACGAGTAATTCAAGTGACCAAACTTGCAATTTAGCCCTTCCAAAACAATTAAACGTGATTGTAATTTATTTATTATAAAGAGTCTGCAAAGCAAATATGAATCATGAAACATAGTTGGTAAAAGGCAAAGACAAGAACGAGCATAGCAAATATCAATAAAGATCCACCCTACAGTCCCCCATCCATAGAGGCGCTCCAGTCCAAACTCTTGTAACATAGGCTGATACCCAGTATCTTAAAAATTGAGCATTTATACTATGCTATATAGTATTGGTGTTTTAATGTACAACTTAAAGTTGTACCATAACATGAAATGTATAAGTTTAGATTGTACCATAAAAAAATTTGTATCATTATGTTATGGTACAACTTTACAACTTGAAGTTGTACCATCACATAAAGGTACAAGTTCAAGTTGTACCAAAAAAGAATTTGTACAAACAGTATAGGTATAATCCAAAGTTGTACCATAACGTTAAATGTACAATTTCAAGTTGTACCATAAAGGCCAAAACCTATAGCACCAATACTATATAGCATTGTAAAATTCTTCCTTAAAAATTACAGTATACCGTTATCCATAAGATAGGGTTTCACCCAACTATCAATTTCCATACACATGTACACATCAAGAGAAGGATATGACACTATCTTTTTCGTTGACAAGCTTTCTGCTTAGAGAATGGAAACACAGAACCCACAGTCATCATCTTCGCGTCAAAAACGTGTACCTACATCGACCAAGGTTCATCTTACTTCATCCACAACACACTATATCCAGGTAGGGGTGGGCATCGGTACGGTTCGGACCGCACCGCATTTTTATAAACCGCACCGAACCGCATTTATGTAAACCGCACCGCATCTTTGACCGCGAAGTTATCGGTGCGGTCAAACCAAACCGCATAAATTAACGGTTTGGTATGGTTTAGACCGCACCGCATTTTGACCGCAAATGACAAGAAAAGAAGGAAGCTTGGAAATAAAAAAAATGGCAAGGATTCCCGCTCCGTTTCTGTGTACTGATGCAAACCTGACAAATTTATTCAATTGGGAACACAGAAACACCAAGTACATACTCGATCATCATGCCACCAAAAGTCCAAAATAGAGCTGTGAAGGCAAGAGAAGTAGAAGATGGCAGCACAAGAAGAACCATGACTGCTCAACAACTATTGAATGCTCTATTTTCTTAGTTATCTGTTGTAGTTTTGAAATAATAGCAAACAAAAAAAATGGCAGGGTTCCTCTCCACATTGCTCTGTTTCCGGCCATCAAAACAGAGCATATGCTCTGATTTCCCCATGCCTTGCATCTGCTGCTTTCTTCTTGCGGAACTCTGTTTCTTGGCTAGATCCCCTACACATGAACCCATTGAATATACTGTAAGATGGGTGGGGAAAAACATTAAACCATAATGCTTGAGATATATGTCCCTCCAAGAATGACAGGATTCAGATACCCTGCTGCAAACTCAATTTATGCCACAAATTGCTAACTTCCAGAGTACAAATTACTTCCATGGTCCAACCAACATGATCGTGTCCAAATTAAACCCATGTACGGGTACCACTTAACCTCACCCAAGAGTCATGTATATTAGCTCAAGGTCTGTACTCTGTACTGTCAGAAAAGTCCAGACAACCCCCACCAAAGCAAAAAAAAAGCAAACAAACTACGATGGAACACCATTACAGCAGGGTCTTAGACATTATTGGAATTAAAAACAAGGTCTTAGACATGAAAATGAGATTGGCAGCAGGGCAATGAAAGTCATATTATCCCTGTTGAGTGCTTCCTTCTGGGAGGCCAACTGTCAGTACTAGCATGCCTGCATTACCCCTAGCTAACCAGCATACATGTCTTAAACCAATCGAGAGTAGTAGCTAGCTGGCTAGTTATCAAATGTTAACAGCAACAAATGTCATACCTCTAAATAGATGGTATTTAGGCCATACACAGAGAGAGAGAAGGGGCAGCTCAGAAATTGCACTAATGATCAGGTTCAAATGTTACCTTATATGTTTGTGCTTGCCTCTACATTAGGACTCATACGAGGAGTATGGATACGAGGAAGTGGAACATCAGATATACCAATAGCCTTCATAATCATGCTCAACTCTGAAATTCATAAGAAGACAGTTTAATCACTACATAAAACGTACATGGTATATAAACAATAGCTTTTTTTAGGTTACTCACCTTCATCGATATTAAATCATCGGCCATACCACAGATATTAAGTATCGATATTAAAACATCAGATACTTAATCTTGACACCCCTGAATTGTACCTGAAACCAAAAGAACTAATTCCGACCAAACCCTACTCGAAGAACCAGTATATGCAATTAGCTCTAAAATGGTGTCCATATAAAGTAGTGAATAAACATGCAAAAGGATTTATCTAATCACAGTGATCACTCAGCTGAACTATGCATTATAAATCATCACCTGGCCCCATTAATCAAATCCATGAAAAAACAGCAAATCTTGTAAAAAAACAAACAGAAGAAACATAGCCTCAGAAGGAAGGCAGTAGTGGTTTGTTATGTAATCAAACTATTCGTCATACAGACACAATATCACCAGTTCTCATCACAGGCAAAAAAACCGAAAATATTGAAAACCCAGATGGAAAGAACAGATCTTGAAATCGAACTGAAATGGCCTCATAGAGAAGATTAGGCGTATCAACATGGATAAAATTCAGACATATGCTTGTCAATTTTTTATATTAAATCATCGGCCATACCACATCGCCAGAAAAAGAATAAAACTTGGATCTGGGTTTTTTGAAAGAAAGAAAGTAATTGAAGGGGACTCAGAATATGGGTGGTGATATATCAGAATGGTCGTCAAGGCCTTTTACAGCCATTACGAACAAAATCAATGAATGAATGAATGAATCATTCTGATAACAGTATCTTCTACTATAGTAAAGGAACTCACCTCACTAACACTAAGCACATTGTTGCTGGGTATCTGTGCTCGAGCTCGTTTTCCCTGTGATCCTTTAGATTTCATCTTTCCAATAACAGTATCTTCTGTTTCCCTATTGCTTGATATCGAATTCACAGATTCATTACAGCCCTACAAGCATATGAAAGAAGACAGTTAGAACATTGTGACAGGTAAATAAATCATTCACTGGGTTTTGTTACCTGATCTCTAAATCTAATAGCTATCATGAAAAGAGAAAAGGTAACAAACATAAAATACCAAACTAAGAACTGTGCACTTGTTAACGTGGACAAAGAAACCAACACAAATAAATTCTGTTCAAAGTTCAAACCAAGAGGAAAAAGAAGGAGAAGAAAACAAATAATGGGATGGATGAAAAAGCAATCAACCGACATTTATGTGCATTGTCGCAATTAATTACAGTGGTTTTCAACCCTTGTTCAACCCTTATCAAATTTCCCAATTCCAATTTTGTAGATTGGTAAATAGTACAAATTTGAACAGAATCCCAACTCGATCTCTGTAGTTTTCTGAAGTAGGAAGCCCTGCCAGTGCTTTGAGATAATACTTGTCCACAACATTATCATTCAGGTTGCTAGAAACAATGGCATCCAAATTCCAAAGAGTATTGAATGCTTGAGCATTTCTTCATTTAACCCAGCTGGCCTAAATTTCTCTGCTCTCAGAGCAACATAGGAACTCAGATGCTCGAAATGGAAAACGAAGAAATGCAACACGTACATGAAAGCGGAGATAATAACTGGCAGAATAGATCGAGTGTAGAGATAGATTTAGGGATGGAAGGAGCTTTGCTTCAACTTTGGAATTGAGGCATTGTCGCAATTAATTACAGTGGTTTTCAACTTTCCTCTTCCGATTTCGGGTACGGTAAAAACAACCCTAGATCCATACCTAACAAATCTAATCAACCCACCAAGCATACTAGAAAACCCACGGAGGGCAAAAGGATAAGTAGGTATGTCGCCGCCTTGGCGGAGGTCCGACGGGAAGACATGCGGTTGATTCGACTTTCGAGATTGAATCCAAAAGAAACCGATCAAGGATATGAAGAGGGAGGGAGAGAGTACCAGAACGACGGTGTGAGCTGGGATGCGGAGGCCGGCGGAGGTGCGAATCTGGATTTTAGGTCAGGGGAAGCGTCGTCGGCGTCGATCTATGAAGCTCGGGACGTCTCTTGGTGTTGTGCAACGTCGAGAGGAACAGAAGAATCGTTAGGTATGGATGAGGAAGAAGAATCGCCGCCGGGTAGCGAGGGAATGGTGCGGATCTGGCGGTGGCGGGGACTGGATGAGGAAGAAGAATCGCCGCCGGGGGGATAGCGGTTTGCGGTGAGGAAGAAGAATCTCTGCGTTTGCGGTTGGTGGTGGGCGACCTTCAGTAAGAATTAGCGGTTTGCGGTTTTGAACTGTAACCGTGTGGTTTCGGTCAATCCAAACCGCGAACCACTAACAATTAAATGGTTAGTCCGCAAACGAAACCGATAGTTAACGGTACGGTTTGGATTGACCGTTGGAGCGGTTTGGAGTGGTTTGGTGAAACCAATGCCCAACCCTATATCCAGGTTAAGTCTTTTAAGAACAAGGCGACCTGATGAATCACAACATTGCTGCAAATCAACTGATAACAGGTCCTACCACCGCATTGCTAGCCTCAAATCATATCTCCATGGCATCAATGGATACTCTGGAAAAATATGAACTCGACTCTGAGGACTAAAAAGCAGCCACCCCAAGGAGCACCAACTCAGCCACAACTCTTTACAAAAGAATCCGCCATTAGAACATAGATGATCATTACTTTTGCTTGTGAATATGCATCAAACACATGCACCAGCCACCACAAAACTATATTGGTTAGAAACAACAAGACTACATGGCCAACAACCGTAAGCAGACCAGAATGGCAGCAAAATCCTCTCAAACATAAAGCGTCGTTGAAAAGCAACCACCGACAGGATTCCTACACAGGAGGAAACCATTCTCCCCAGTTTCATCTTCACCTGTACGTTCAACATCACTTCATTTTATACATATATGTGCAGATTCCAGATAAGGGAGCAGGTGTAGCTTCGATAGGTTCAAACCATAGCAAGACAAACAAGTAATAACAGCTCTAGAAGTTGCCCAAAAAATTAAAGTATGAATTCAAATCTACCTCAATTGCGGTCTCCACGACTCTACGATGGAGGTGGCAACCCTCCAAAGACTGTAATGAAGCTCTCTGGGCTTGCAGGCAGCAGTTCTTTGGTGTATGGATGAAGTAAACCGAGAAAAGGGTCCACTTCCTATTGCCGCGGCTTTAAGCACGGAACTATTCAAGAAGCTGACCAAACTACGATCACAAGTGCCATTACACACTGAAAGTTGTCCACACTACCCACACATTCCCATAACCAAGTCAAAGAACAACTGATAATTAAAATCCCACACTCCAGAGCAAAGACTCTTACTAACATCAATCACTACAGAACTTTGTCAAATATCTAAGAGCCTGGCTCCACAAGATCACCCCCAGCAATAACAAGTAAAAGGAAAAGCCCTTAACTCTCTTGCATTGCTTCGGAATGATATTTCTCCAACTCGGCATCCAGATCATCAGCGGATATCTTATCACCGCCACGGCCACCAGTTCTCCGCCCACGACCCCTTCCGAATCCACGACCACCACCACGGCCACCCCGTGGCCGAGCGAAAGCACCACCCCTGCCTTGACTTCTGCATCAGCAAAATAATCAGAAAAAAAATACATGATTAGGTCGTCTCACTGCCAAGTATATGAATGAACTTTATACAATTGAAGGATATTCAAAGTGCACCAACAAGTTCCCTGAAAAGACCAGGGCAAAGCAACCAACTTAAGTTCACCAGATATTCGCATGTAAAGTACAACATACAATTCTAAGGCTCGCTAGCACTGGTTTAATAAGATGAATGGATGGACATTCAAAATGAAAATACAGATATTACAACAAATAATAAACATCATCCAAAGAAGAGGAGACATACCCTCCGCCAAGTACAACTGGTGCAATTGGGTTCCCGAAATTTCCAGTAATAACGGGAGGCACAGCAGGGGTGACAACATTAGTTCCCACAATCTCTATCTTCATCGGTTTACCATCCAACTGAACATTGTTGTATCTCTTCACGGCTGCAAGTGCATCTGCCCTCCTGGAGAAGACAACTTCTGCCGTTCCCTGGTTCAAGGAGTTTCTCTAAGCCACAGAGACAACCAAGCAAGTCAAAAGGACATGTCGTAGGACCAAGTTCGGTTTAAATACCTTTGATCTCCCGCTTCTATCATAATGGATTGCATACCGTTTCAAATCACCAACTTCAGAAAACAGTTCCTGCATGTTAATCAGTGAAGTTAGCTATACAGCTCCAAAGAGGAAATCCCATCAATCAAAATACATACAGAAGAAATCATATGTACAAAGAGAGCAAACCATAAGCTAAGAGGACCTAAGAAAAGGGAAGATTATCACTTGTCTAGCGAGGTAAAAGACCAAAAGATGAACCTAGGGTACTTCACGAACGCTAGATTAAAAATTCGAATTAGGGTTCTTCACACTTCATAAGTCCCTCTTCAACAATCTCTCTAATTCTCAAAAGTCCAAATCAAGCAGCATGCGAAAGTCTAACAAATTCAAACACAGAACTGAGGTTCTTTTTCAAACCCTAACCCCAAAAAGAATATGAATCAAGAACTTTTTACCTTTACGTCTTCATTCGAGACGCCGTAATCAAGATTCGAGATATAGAGCTTAGTTCCCGTCTCAATAGCGGAGGTCTGAGCGGGTTGTGCTGGGAAAGCCATAGCTGCACCCGCGAACATGTCGTGCTGCCACGCTGTTTCCGTAGCCTGAACAGAAACCAGAAGGACAAATCAACACCTTCCTTCCACGATACAGAAGAAGTGATCGAAGCTCAACGCGGTGGGAAGAGGGGAAAGAAGCGGAACCCTAGCAGATGTAGCGGGAAGTACCATAGGAGCTGCATAGGGAGCCGGCCGATTGAATCCCCGATTGGGGATCCGGCGAGCAGGGCCCGGTCCAGAACCTCGGCCACGGCCGCGAGAGTTGCCAGATCCGGGCTTCTTATTGTTCTTGATGATGTCGTCGAGGGACATATCCAGAGCGCTAGACATTTTCGTTTCTCCGGGTTTGAACCAAAGGCAGCCTCAGCAAAAACGAAAAAGCAGGGCACGAACAAAAGTCGAAGTATGAGAACCGGGAACTAGATGGAGAGGAGGAAGGTTAGGGTTTTTTTCCTCGACGGCAAGGGAGAGAGGACTTCGCCCTGATATAATCAAAATCATTCAAAATTAGGACTTTAATGTTTTCTGGTTTCATTAAACAACAACGGTTTCGTGGTGTAGTTGGTTATCACGTCAGTCTAACACACTGAAGGTCTCCGGTTCGAACCCGGGCGAAGCCATTATTTTTCTTTTTTAAATATTTTAGTTTTTGTTGTTTGCTGGGTTCTGTTCGCCTGCGTTGATGACTTGGGCCTGGCTCTGCGTCCGTGGGCCATCGCAGTACGGCCGAACCGTAAAGTCCAGTTCTTTTAACATACCCTTTTCTTTCTTGGATATAATATACATAGGACTATAGGAGATCATGGAGGCCAAGAGGAAAGAGATCTTCCAATCCCTTTGTGTTCAATTTAAAAGAACCCTTCAAGTTTCAACAATGTCCTAAGCTTATTATTGATGAGTCAAGCCAATAAGTTTGTCAAGTCTCGATTTCTTATTAATTTCATTTATAAAAACAAAGAAAATATCTAAATATTTATAGAATTTTAAGTCTACCAAAATAATAATCGGTCAGCTCCGTATGCAGCTCCTATGGTACTTCCCCCACATACTGAAAATCTAGACCAGACTGCTTATAATACATTTTAAAGAGTTTGATTTGCTCCATTTCAAATTTCCTACAATGAGAATGAAAGTAGGAAGGGTATTTTCGTCTACACAATCATTTTTTTATTTCATATAAAAAGATATCAATGCTAGGATTTGAACCATGGTCCCTTCCACCGAAGACAAGAATTGTAATCAATTAGACTAGACACATTTGTTGTACTTTATTAATACAAAACATAGAGGAAATTAAAATTATGAAAAACAAAGTACTTTTCTATCACAGTAAGTTAGCCCGCTAAGTCTCCTTTAAGTAGTTTGTGGAGTTTGATACTTCTATTTTCATATTTTAATAATTAATTTATAATATTTTCTAACTTATAAATGAAGGATAATCTTAAAATCTCAACACAAATATCATTGGTTGGAATATTGCGCATTGAATTGAAGTGTTCAATGAAGTGTTCAATGACGATATAAGGACACTGGTACCATACATTTCAAGATAAATAAAAATGACAAACACTGATACCAATTATCTCGACAGTCTATGCTAAAATTCAAAATTGTTTAATCATTCAATTTGAATGATAGTTTAGTCAAATCAAACAAATAATTCACGATTGTGTATAAACAAAAATAAAAACATACGTATTGTATTATGAAAAATGTATTTATTTTTTAACAATCTAAAAAAAATAATCAAAACTTTCATACGACCCCTTATTTCAATAATGTAATTAATGAAATAATTTTTATCAGCATGATGCAATGTTCAAGCTACGGTCAAAGTATTAACACCAGTATATAGTATTCATCATAGTTAACTATTTCAATATCCACAGCTAACTATTAATGGTTACTTGCTTTCTCTTAGAGAGTTTAATGTAACACTCTCATGCCTAGCTATGCTCTAAGCATTTTTTTTTTTCACAATATCATTTGCAGTTATTTATTAAATCAACTTTGTTTCTAGCTTTCAAATCCTAATTATTCACTTCTTCACACCAACTTATGAGAATGCTAAATATATTTTCATGTCTAATCTATTAAACATAAATGTTGCTTATCACTTAAAATTCAATGGTATCCATGTTAGGTTTGATGTCACCAACATATTCTCCCAATTTCTCCTAAAAGCATAATATATTGCGCTTGATATCATAGTTTCGTTAGGTACAGTTCAACAAACTCAATCAATATTCGAACTCTTCGAAATAGCTATCTACATGCGAATATGAAGTACTGAGTAGCTAAAACTCTACACGAGTTAGTACAATTTTTTGCGCTATCGATTCAAAATTCAATACATGATTATCTTAGTACAATTTAGTCATACTAATTGTGCAGTAGGGGACATCTTATCAAAATCTTAAAGAAAGACTCTTTGATTGATCGCTTTATTGATGTAATCAATTATACCCAAATAGAAGTGATCAAATTTATAAGATGCACTCAAATTTTGCTATAATTATTGAGGTTAGGCAGTACGTTAGGCGTACGACGGTCATTGAGCATTTGTCTATCTCTTAGCTCGCCTAGACATGCTTAGACATTATAATAAAAATAGTAATTTTAATAATAACGAATAAAATAACGGTTCTGAAACAATTTCATACTTTAGTTCAAATGATTTAACAACAAACGAAATAACTCTCAAGTTTATAAATTATTTTATTTTACCAAATGATATAATTAATTCATTCATGAGCTGAAATAGCTAATTATAAGCACTTCAAATTTAAGTTAAAACTCTATATGATGCAATTGTTTGACGAGAGTGGTTTTATCGAGAGAGGTCTCTAAGAAACATGGTTTACTTTATTATTCCTTAGGTGGATATAATATCTATCTTCATCGTTACTTTTACATTGGATTCAATTTAGTATACTTTTTCATTTAGATAGATTTGTTTATGATGTTCTGGGATATAATATATCATTATATATGAAGGTGTAGGATATTAATTCCTCTCATTTTAGGTTCAAATTGATGCATTTTCCCCTTAATTATTCCCTTTTATTGGTTAATAATTTTTATGATATTTTCACTTTTAAATATCGTGATCGGAATCTATACACAACAATTTGTGTTTTTTCGCTTCCTCTTATCTTGGTTTGATATTGTGTCCATATTGATTCCTATATTGATTATCGAATTACTACTTTTTTGTTCTTTTTTCTAATGCAAGATATGATTTTATGTTTGATAATATAGATTTATTTTGCAAGCATGTGGATGCTTGAGAGTAAGTTGTCAACCCGTGGGTCGACCCACTTTGACCCTGACCCAGTGAGAAAAACAGGTTGCACGCACCTGCCGAGTCGACCGCTACAAGGTATCGGGTTAGAGGTCAAATTGTGTCATTTTTTTCTTTGGTTTGCGAAATGCGCCTATTTTTCAATTTTCTTTTCGCCTAACTCAATCTTTGGAATCCTAAGTTGAACATTTGAATATTGTTGTTATATAATTGTGTGTGAATTTTCACTATATGTTGGATCTAAGTACGACATGTTATTTTAGTGTAATATTATATGTTATAACTCATATGTTAGATGAGATTTGATATAATTTATCAAGATAAGTATAATATAATGACTATTACCATATTTTTGGGCTAAACCGGGTGACCCATTAACCCTTGACTCACTAGATTCACCGGGCCCGGGTCAACCCGCGGGTTGACAACCTTGCTTGAGACTTTTCATTTGCCTCATAACTTACATTTTACAATGGCTCCAAACTTGGATGGGTTTCTATTCAGCACATAAATTTTTAATGATGTAAAATTTATGAAACTAAGATGCATATTAATAAACAATGTAAGGTCTCATCTTCCCTCTTAAGCACTACATATCATTGTTTACTTACCATTAAATCAAAGTCTTTCTAACTTGAGTAAGAGCTACAATGACTTTTATTAACTTTCACTACTCATATATCACAAGTGTTCAAATCATTATCAAGTGTTCATACAGTGACTTTTATTGTTGTGGATTTCCCCCAAAATGTTAGGTATGCTGCTTTTAGTTTTTGTCTTATTTTCGCTTTGATTTAGCTTTTTATGTGTTGCTCTATTAGTTGAACTTGCAGCTAGAGATCTGCATGCTTTGTTTCATTATTTCATAGAATACACTAAAATCAATGGAACCATGACTGTGTGAGTTAGCTTGTTTCTTTTTAAGTACACTCTAAACATATGGTTTGTTTCATTATATCATTGAATACACGAAAGTCAATGGAAAAGGCAAAAAAATTTATCGTATATTGAAGATTGATTATGTATGTGTGATGTAAAACAACTCTTATCATTGTTCTTCTTAGACATTTTTATATAGATATGACTTTGTTTGAAATATGAATTTACATTAGTGTAGTTGGGCGTTGTTTTTCATTTTTTAAACTTTATTAGTCAAATACATTAAATACTTTCGTATATTATTCATGGAGAACTTACCAAATTAAATTGTTACTTCAATCCTCAATGTTTACTACACATACACATGAAAATCAAACTCTCCCGGCCAAGAAGCCGGGCCCTATTCTAGTTTAACTATTATATAATTAGTTGGGCCGAACAATTTTTTAAAAACTTAACTACTATATAATGTAATTATATATTGATCCAACAAGTACTAAAAACTCGAATCTCAAATGCCTTGATTCAATTTTGGGGGAGAAAGTTATGTGTATAGGTATGGATGAGATCTCCGATTCTCTCTAATCCTCAAGCCAGACATACTAACAATCTACCCTGGAGTGAGGTGAACCCACTAAGAAAGCTAGACTTGCAATGATTCCCGATTTTTAAATTGTTATATACATTCATAATCACCATGATCCAGCCCTCGAGCTTTAATTGCACAATTAGTTCTATAGCTAGCTGAAATAAACAAGTTTATCCAATCCAGTTCTTTATTTATAAACTCAATTCACTACATTGGCAAACTATAAAAAAAAAATCTACAGTGACAGGAAACGATGGAACTGCCACGGCGCCTGGAAACCGCGAAATACCGGCCGCCTGTACGTACATTGGAAACCGCCGCCTGCCGCTAGCGGTGGGATCAAAACGTGGATAAAAAAAATTCCAGGGAATGCGCATTTGTCTGAAAAAACTCACATCCCCAAAGAATTGATCAACAATCAAACTATTCTGAATCTGAAAAAAAAAACAAAAATGGCGGTGTATGACTAACTAATTAACTTCAGTTCTGACGAACCACGTCGCCCCACAATCCCAGAGATCGGACCAAGCAGGCGGATCCGCTGACCACCAGGGCGGCGAAGACGGTGGGCACGAAGAAATCCCAATTCGACCTCTTCACCATGTGCCCCGGCAGGCAGATCACCTCTCTCGGCGATTCCATGATCGGCAGCCCCACCATTCCCGCCCCTGTACACGCCGGCGCCGTCCGCGAGAACAGCCACCGCGCGGCGGAGGCGGAGGGGGCGGAGGAGGACGAGGAGACGGAGGATACGAAGGCCAATTCAGGGGCGAAGGAGGCGACGGCGACGGTCAAGCTGAGGAGAGTGGTCCACGCCGCCGCCTGGAGGAAGAGCCGCCAGTGTAGCGACGCCAGCCGCCGGATGATCTGAGCGTGAATTGGTACCATTTTCGTTTTTTGGATTGATTGATCGGAATTGTGGGGGTTTTAGAAGGGGGAATAAATTGCTAGACGGATGTATTGTTTTTCCCTCTTTTTGGCTTCTTCTGTGTGGGGAGGAGAAACTAATTAAGATCGTGGGAAGACGGAGAAGAATAAATCAATTAGATTAATAAAAGGTTAGCGTGTGGGCGAAAGAGAAATATGGCCGTGTTTCTTCTGTCACTAGCGCCCGGATTGGTTGGGAGAGACGACGCTAAGCACGTTTTGTGTCCACTAACTACTCTTCCCCACTAACTATTACCAGCAAAAAAAAAAACTACTCTTTCCACTGATGCTTCGATTTCCCGAGTTTGCCCCTCGATTGAGCAGAGTATTACTCGGCCATGTTTTGCCAATGCCGTGTTGATTTTCCGTTCAAATCGGATCAAAATTTTACCATGTTAGAAAGAAAGAAAAGTTACTTGTCACGTGTCATGCTATTTAAAGTACTAAATTTGTCATTTAGTTATAAGTGAATCGAGACAATGATTCGAGTTATTATGCGGATGAAATGTCATGGTACTTCAATTAATTGTCGGTAGCAAGTTATTTTTTTACAAATTGAAAATCGTAAATGAATTAACAGAGGAAAAAACATGCATATTTAAATAAATAACATTATTTTTGGACTATATTATCACTCGTTACATTCTCATTGATGTGTATTAAAAGTTGAACGCCACGTATTTTTTATACCTCTATACATTAGGTTGCGGTTACAAATAAATGGGTTAATTAATATGCATATAGTAATAGGTCAAGATTGCATATTAAACAGTGAAGTTTGTATCTGTTTAGTACAATTGTATCAAAACATGTACCTTGTAAGTTGTAAGGTTATGAAAAATTGCTCATTCATCTACGCTTGTGAGAGCTTTGGGTAAGGACAAATGACTCACAAGTCACAACTCACAACACGCATTACATTGTTCAGTTTTAACAGCAACTCAACACACTAGTATTAGGAGGCCATGAACACAACAAGAATTGGGTAGTCATTCTTACTGCTGTCAGTTTGGTTAGGTTTGGTTAACCAAACCATTAAGCATGAAGATCGAGAAAATCAACTTTATCGGTTATCATTTAACCAACAACCAGTATAAGACCCATAACTGGTTTTCGTTTGGTTTGATTATCATGCTGACAAATTAAAGAAGCACTCGGTATGGCTGCAACGGTATGGTTTTCGTTTGGTTTGATTATCATTTGGTCATTATAATAATCTGCATTTTTTGAAGGATGTGCATGAAGTTATGAAATTTAACTGAAATTGCTTTGGGTTATGTATTAGTTGGCTCACTTCCCACCAGCCTATTACACAGCAGATGGAGATGACGATGAAGACAATTATCAGATTTAAGCAGCAGCAAGAAGTAGTTGAGCATATTGGAAGGCCATACTGAAAGCTTCTTTGTTGAGCTTGGTTGTAAATCGTACAAATCTTACTGATTCATGTTCATGTTGAATAATTAAACCGCGCCCATGTGACCAGACCAGCCAAACATCATCGAACAATCATATGAGTTATCCCAGTTTCTATATAACGTGTAAAGGTCCGAAGGAAGGGTAAAGGTTGATATTTGACAATCGCCACGGCAACAGGACGCAAATTCAGCAGAGAAATGTAACCGCTTCCCAGTTTTCCTCGGGTCCTATTGTCCTAACTCGGCACAAAAGGCCATGTGCCCCTGCCCTTCCCAAGGATAGATGCCCTCTTCATCGGCACAAAAGCCACGGCGCCGTTTCTTTGAGGCTCGATACATGCCGCTCTCTGTCGTCACCGTGGGACCAAATACAGGGACGACGACAGATTTTGATTACTCAAACGCAAGACTCCAATTATTCCATTCAAGGAAGGAGCACCAAGCACGCAAAACAGAATATGGGTTCTTCTGATTGGGAATAATAATAATAGCATCAAAAACCAAGAATTCAACTACAAAATATAACCATGGAATCCGATTACCATTTCCTTTAGGTAGTTACAAAGTTATCAAGCAAGAAACGCAAGGAAAATACAACTGAAGCCATCAATCCATCGAAACGAACTCAGTGACTACGAGATCTAGACCGGCAAACCACACCCAGAGACAAAACATCTAAATTGGCGTATAACCCTAAACCCTAACTCAGACCACACACAATTTTCAAGAGCTGGTGAATTTGGTGACGGCCTTGGTGCCCTCAGAAACGGCGTGCTTGGCGAGCTCTCCGGGCAGCACCAATCTGACGGCGGTCTGGATCTCCCTGGAGGTGATGGTGGGCTTCTTGTTGTACCTAGCGAGTCTGGAGGATTCCTGGGCGAGCTTCTCGAAGATGTCGTTGATGAAGGAGTTCATGATCCCCATCGCCTTGCTGGAGATCCCGATGTCCGGGTGGACCTGCTTCAGGACCTTGAAGATGTAGATCTTGTAGGTCTCCACGCTCTTCTTGTTCCTCTTCTTCTTCTTGTCTCCTGCAACTGCGCCGGCTTCCTTGGGGAGCTTCTTCCCGGCCTTGGGCTTCTTCTCTGCGGGAGCCTTCTCGGCCACGGTCTTCTTCTCCTCCGTTGGCTTCTCGGCGGCCGGTTTCTTCTCTGCGGGCTTCTTCTCTGCGGCCTTTGGCGCCATCTCGAAAGGAAGGTGAGATGAGATTTGGGGGGTTTCTTCGCGAGGAGGGGAAAAACAGATGGGTAGAGGATTAGACGATTCTTTGGGATTAGAGTAAGTTTTGAGAGATTGCTTTGTGGGCCGAATAATATATATATAGGTGCCAGAGAAGCAATCCCATTGGATATCGGAGTCTGCCGCGGATAGATGAAATAGAGGATCTTGACCGTTGATTAGGAAACTTGAATCGACGGCATACAAAGATGCGTGAAGAGTAGGGTGCTTTCAGTGCGCCTATTAGACGTGGTCATCTCTCATTGGGTTTTCGAGTTGGCACAGATTGTTGACGTGGCATTTAATTCCCCTGAAGCCGGCCAGCTTGGATTTCGGGTCGAATGTCGAGCTGATACAATTGCAAGTGATTTTGGCGGGCGCGGACCTCGGATATTCAGCGATCCAATTAAAAAAAAATCCAAACTAAATCGTGGCTGCAATTTTTGCTTTCCCTCCCAATCCCATGAAGAATTCCTGTGGCAAACAAAAAAAATTCTCTGAATTCTCAATAATTGATTGACTATTGGGAAAAAAAATTGTCGATAATTAGCTTTCTAATTACATTTTAGATTTCCGGTTTCATTTATAGCGGGTTTCTTGAATAGTGAGTTAGTGACCTGATTATCAAAAAAAAAAAAATTAGTGACCTTTTAGAAATCATGGGTGGTTTTGATTAATTGCAAGGTTGTTAACCCGCGGATTTACCCACTTTGACCCTGATCCGATGAGAAAAACGGGCTGCACGCACCCGCTGGGTCGACCGCTAAAGGTATCAGGTTCGAGGTCAAATTGTGTCATTTTTTTTCAGTTAGCGAAATGCGCCTATTTTCCGATTTTTCTTTTCGCCTAACTCAATTCCAATCCTTAGTTGAACATTTGAATACTGATGTTATATAAGTGTGTGTGAATTTTCACTATATGTTGGATCTAAGTACGACATGTTACTTTGGTGTAATGTTACATGTTATTACTCGTATGTTAGATGAGATTTGATATAATTTATCAAGATAAATACAATATAATAACTCTTTTCATATTTCCGGGCTAAAACGGGTGACCCATTAACCCTTGACCCACTAGCTCGACCGGGTCCGGGTCAACCTGCGGGTTGACAACCTTGATTAATTGTTAAAGTGATGTTTGTAGAGTCAAATAGCTCATTAATTATTTATGTGGTGTTTTAGAGAGATTAGGCGGCAATTAGGTTTTCTCGACCACAAAAACTCTATGTTACCTATAGAGATACTGAGTCGCTACGACAAAACACCAAACTACGATCAAGTATAATAGTAGAATAGAAATGCAGAATAGTGGGTAAGTTTACTTATCAACCTCGGGCCTAGATGTACTGCCTACTTCATGATTGTCTATTATCTATCAGGGAAAGTTGAATGAAGTGATCAAAGCATATTAATCAGAAAGTAGTAAATGTTTTGGTTTTCAAGTTCGAGAAGGAACCACTCACGTAATGATTCCCCCTAGTCTGCAATTAAGTTGAGTTGTAATTCACCCAGTCCAATTCAATCCAGATTTATGTTGCGAAAGATTCGGATCTAGCTTGGAATATCTTAAAATGATCAAACCCTCTCATACACGTTACCCGGCAAACGACTAACCTTCACCGAGATAAAGTGCTAATGTAATAAAAACAAATATCCTCTACTGGAATGAATCTCAGTACAGAGCAATGAATCGATTGACTCTCGCACAATCGATTCACTACTTCCAAATCAAGATGCTTTATTGACTTATTTAGATTCTATCGTTCTAGGACAAAGCAGGAAACATACAAGTGTGATCAAGACTCATGGATTTCCGAATATAACTTCAATTTGGATATATAATCATCAATGTGCTGAAAAATGGTCATACCACTACTCCTAATATGCAAAACTAGGGTTCTTCATACCTGGTAGATGAAATTACTCCAGAGAGAGAGAAAAGTCATGTCGGATGTAAAAATCATCGTGTAGACGGAAGAAATCTGCTCCGGGTCATCAATCGTCACTCCTCGAGGCTTGAAACGAACTCCAATGATGGGAAAAACTTGATATAGGGCACTCAAGGGTCTTTGTTTGTCACTTTCTCTCTCTGAACCTTTGTTCTCTGGTCCAAAACTCCAATGAATCGTCAAAACCCACGTTTGGCTCTAAACATCCCGAGCCTCGAAACCCCGAGCTGATTACCCGGTCGAGTAATTTGATGCCCAGGTCGGGTTTCTTCCAAAATGGCAACGCAACCACTTAAGTCCCGCATCCAATTCCCCCGCCTCAGGTTCGAATCCCCGATCGGGAATCAAGGGGTCATGACTGGGGGAAATCCATGGACGAGTTCCCCAATTTGTAATGGCATTTCCTCGGTCGGGTAATTAATGGTCACGCCGGGTATTTTGGTCCTCGAACTCCTCCTTTCGTCCACTTGGTGCTTTTGACCCGAAACTCGCTCACAAGCCTACATATGTGATCTAAGACCTGAAATACATCATGCACGGACAACTTAGCGTGAATTTGGCTAAAAACATGAGAATTTAGTCTCAAACAATGTAAGAATGGTGGGAAAATAAAATATGCAAATACTGAGTTATCAGATACACCATTATGATACATGTTTTCCATATAGTAACTACCGTATTTTTGGGTCTCACCCATTATTGAACTGCCTTCTATGGTCAACTAAGATGGGGAGTGTTATTTTCTGCCCATTCTCGAGGGACAATCGGTTTCCTGACCGTGAAGTATGTTGGCAACAAAGAACCATGCAATACTTGCAACAAAAAGATTGAACTTCAATTACAATAGACAAAAAATGGCAAAATAAGATGAGGAACCTTTGGTGACTACGGAGCGAAAACCTAATGTAAAATCAAAGAAAATATCACTATATATCCATTTCACATAGATGGATGATCGAAACAGAGTGTGATTTGGAGACCTATTATATTATGATGGACACTTATTGTTATGAGACAATTCAAGTACGATACATAAGAGAAAATACCCTTATATTTTAGTGTCTACTTAGGTCATTAGTATGAGGCATTTTAGGCAGGAAACTCAAACGTAAATCGTATGGGTGTACAATATCGTACTAATTAAGCTATTTGGTTTGGGAAGTGGTATAAGAGCATCGTTTGGTTTCAATTTGGGTCGATGGCATAAGTTTAGTGGATCCTCATTCAATGACATCGGAATTTGAGATATGCGTATGTTTGGTGAATTCGATGAGATCCACATGTGTTTTGTAGATTAAAGGTGAACTACATTTGGTCTGGTGGATCAAGATAATCGTTGAGGGATCACGATGTTCTTGGTTTTTGTCTTTAGGAGAGTATTGTTATGGGCCAATCCAAGTACTACATAAAAAATACAAGGGAGATGACCATTGTATACTAGTGTCTACAAAGTCCAGTTAGTATGAGGCCTATTGGGGAGGATATCCAAAAGTAAATCCGTATGGGTTTGGCTCAAAGTAGACAATATCATGAGCTAGCCAGTTTCAACGCTTGTTATTATTTGCATAGGGAAATCTCCATAAGAGATACATAAGTTGAAGGACAGAACTTTATGGAGGTATGGATTAGGGTTTTGGATATCCAAACATCTTATCGAAATGAAGGAATGACAGAGAAAGTGACATGCAGGGTTGGGGGATTCCTGTTATTTGGTGAGCGGAACTTTGACATATGGAGTACATTCATGCACATAAATGGTAACCAAGGATATTAATGGACATTTTTGTAAGGGATTCAAATTAGGGGTGGTTTGGAAGTTTATATTGTTTTGGTGAGATTGTTACTATAGATGTATTGTATAGAATGCACCATTTTTTTAAAATGTTCAACAGAAATAAGATATAGATTGTTTTTATGATGTGACATAAACTATCACTCAAAATCAGTGATTGCTATATCTCATATTTTAATTGTGATTGCTGAGATGGTTGAACTGAGATTGTTTTGTCTCGGCTTTTAGCTAATGTGACATACACAATCACACATACCAAACATTGTATTTGGCAATGCACAACTTTGACCAGACATGTATAAAATTATACATGCATTCACAATCATACATGTAATAAACTATCGTAGCTTCCAAACGATCCTTAAAGTATGCAGGGAAAATCAAAGAGTTTGAAGCGACATATGAAGAACTACTAGACTACCAACTTCCTGCTTTTATTGGGGTTGATAAGACATTTGAAAATATATTGTGTAATACATAACCCAAACAAAGAAGATGCACATGTCAATTAGATTAAGGTATGAGCATTGCCAAAGGGTCCCAAAATGCCACGAAAAGAAAGGGAACATGATTATAGTGTATCAATGATATTGTGCAATGAATATGAACAAACATTTTTTTTTTTAAACATGAACAAACTTTGGCAGGCCTACAACAATTAACAGTGGCAATGGCTAACAATTGAATATGTTCTTAGTATCTTTAGTGGGACATACTATGACCGAAAATTATAACATATGAGAACTTGAGAGAAAAAAAGAGGATTCAAATGGAATAAGCATACGAAAGAGAAGGTTCGTTTGAAAAATATATGGGATGGTAGACTTGCAATAACATATGGAACCTTCCCCGATTGGAGCAACATGATTATGTTAGTCGAGCTCCCGAACACAATATCATAGAGTCACTCGAGGCCATGTGGAGTCCATCGTTCAAATAGGCATTGATGACAGGGGAATTATGGATAAAATAAGGTAGGTTCATGGAACAGGAAACAATAGACCCAAAAGAGACCAAAAGGCTCACTCATGAGCCAAATTAGGGGGGGGGGGGGGGGGGGGGGGGGGGGGGTTTCCAAATTTAATACAAGTTCATGGTAGATAAGAATGGAGTGATGAAAGTTGATATTAAAAAACAAAAATACATATGAGGGATGGCAGTATGACAGACTCTGCATGCCAACATGGTCGCCGAGCCCGCTGAGTGTGTTAAACTATAAAATTCTAGGTAGGGGACACCATGATAGCTAATCGAGTAGAGAGTTGCTCAAACGAAAGGGCCCAAATATTGCAATCTTAGGATAATGAGAACGAACTTCAATCCAGTTAGCAAGCCTTGTTCAACCCTTTTTTGAACAAGGAAAGATAGATAGATTGTAAGGAGGACAAATAGAATTGGGGGATAATGGATCCCCTTGACGAATTCCCTCCCTTAGTTTGAATGGTTCGGTTGCTTGTCTATCGAATAGAATTGAGAACTTGACTTCGCTTGTGCAATTCTTGGATCCATGCTCTCTATTTATTGTTGAAACCCATAGCCTCGAGATTGTCACTTAAATAACCACTCAACTAGGTTGTAAGCTTTCTTCAAATCAAGTTTCAACATCATATCCCATGCTCCTCCTCTCATTTATTGGAATAGTGGGTGACCTCATGCACAATGATGACATTATATTGAATCGCCCGCTCTCTGCTAAAAGCTATTTGCATATGATTTACCAATTATGAGATCCACTTTTTTTCATTTTGATCATGATTTTTAATATGATTTTGTAGTTGAAATTACAACAACTAATGGATCTACATTGAGTTGTGTTCTAAATTTTTTTTTTTAACTTGGGCGTGATAATAAGATGAGTATCATTACATCCTTCAGGCGTAGTGGTGGTTTAAAAAATTTACTTTACTTCCCAATAAATTTGAGTGGCTACAATATGGTTCAAATTTGTTGAATTCTACGACTCGTACTTCTCAAGTTAGTCTTGTTCCAAACGTTAAGCAATTTTTTTTGTACTTCAAAAGACGGGTTTCGTTTACCCTCCTCTATCCCATTCATTTTTTTATATCTTATTCCCAATGATTTCATTCGATCCATCTGGCATCTAATCTAAATGAGATTCTTATCCGAGTTTCAATACCGTACATTTCAAACTAATAGGGCAATGATCATATTCTTCATTGCTTCATGGATAATGATGACATTATCAAAATGGTTGTCACGTCGGCCGGCGTGCCACAGGTTGTACTTGGTTCAACCAGCATCGTTCATAAAACCTGCGTGACACCACTGGTATGACCGGCATGATCAATATACGAATCTCTAAGTAAATTGACCTTATTTTAGTGAATTTAATTGATACAAATTATTTTATTATTTATTTTATGAGTATAAAAGTTAAATATTGATGTTATTTGTTGGATTCAAGTATAAATGTTTAGGTATTGACGTTAAATGTCATGTTTAAATATGAATATTTGTAATTTTATTTGTAATATTGACCGGCATGAACCGACACAAACCGGTATGTGCCACCGATCGAACCATTCCACTTGCTAAACCGGCACACTGGCATATACCGGTTTTGACAACCTTATTCAAAATATTTTCCTCTACTGTTGATTAGTTTGGTGGTTCTCTATAGTTCTGAATTATTTCAGAATTGGACTACAATTCAATTGTTGATATTTTAATGGTCTCTATAATTTGGTCGTTAGAAAGTTCCATGGGCTTGGTGATCCTACCATATAACCCTAACACTAGAGTAACATAGCCCATTAGCAATTGCAAATATTGTTTATTTTTCATACCTTACTTACATTTATGCATTTGGAGTTTTGGACTAATTCACAAGCAACGTGATAAAATATCAGAAGAGTAGAATTTTCGGCCCGAAAGGCCAAAACCAGCAGCGAGGATTTATCTGTACTGCGGGAAACGAAAATTTTCAAAAATTCACACAAGAAAGAGTTAAATTTTCGCCAAAACCAGCGAAGAGGGAAAAACATGTTAAAAATTCAAACTCGCTCCCCATTGGCCCATTTCGAATGACGCGGATCGAGCAACAAACAGACTCCACCCGTAGATGGAAACCTAATCCAACGGTCCTCGTCCCCTTCCATTTCTCACGCTGCTGCCTCCTGCATCGCCCGAATGCCTGGCTATAAAAACGGATCGCGCCGGGAACCGACCTCATCCACCCTTCATTCTCTCAGCTCTCTCTATTCTAGCTCTTGCACTTGAAATTCGTTTGCGAATCGGCGCTCAGTTTCGGTCTTTGTCAAACTCATTCGCTGGAGATGGATACCGGAGCTAAGGTGAAGAAGGGAGCCGGTGGCAGGAAGGGCGGTGGCCCGAAGAAGAAGCCAGTCTCCAGGTCGGTCAAAGCTGGTCTTCAGTTCCCCGTCGGAAGAATCGGAAGGTACCTGAAGAAGGGGCGGTACTCTCAGAGGGTCGGCACCGGAGCTCCCGTCTACATGGCCGCTGTCCTCGAGTATCTGGCTGCTGAAGTAAGTTTCATTTCTCCCCTTTCATATTCCCTTGTTTCTCAGATCTGATTGCTATTGACCTAAATTGAATCTTACTCCTGACTGATTGAAATTGCCGCCGAACCCTAATTTATTATCGTCTTGAATTTGCCCAGGTTCTTGAGTTGGCTGGGAATGCTGCCCGTGACAACAAGAAGAACAGGATTATCCCTCGCCATGTGTTGCTGGCCATCAGGAACGACGAGGAGCTCGGAAAGCTGCTTGCCGGAGTGACCATTGCCCACGGTGGTGTTCTCCCCAACATCAACCCAGTGCTGTTGCCGAAGAAGGCCGAGAGAGCCGCCAAGGAGCCCAAGGAGACCAAGTCGCCATCCAAGGCTGGCAAGTCCCCGAAGAAAGCTTAGTTGAGTGGGTTACACAGAGTGTCTGATTTAGGGGTGTTATCTTCTCTTTTGTTCAGCAATCTATGTTCTAGATGTACCTAATTCTCGCTTTAGTTGTTATGGTGGGTTTATTTTGGGTTTCTGGGTGTGAGAGGAATGAGATGTATTGTGTGAAAATTGGCATCTCCTTTTTCTCTTCATACCATTGTCATCACAGTGGTAGCATATGTACTAGATGGCTGTAATGATTCGAGCTCTAATGGAATGGAAACGCTTTGTTTCTGCACAATCTCTTGTCACTGAACTTGCAAATTTTCTAACAGCTGAGCCCTCATTTTCCAGCGAGTAGAGTTAAGGACTTAAGGTAGCACCATTTACAGCTGACTCCCGACCTAAAAACACGTAACAAGAACGAAATCAGAACTAGCAAATTCTGAAAATTCTGACCTTGTGGTTGGAATTCTGAAAATTCTGACCATTTACAGCTGACTCCCGACCTAAAAACACTTTGAGAATAAACGTTTCTTACTAGGCTAACCTTAACTGTTTCCTACTGCCATATCTGTAATTGTGAAATTCATCCAGAATTTTCATCATTTGAAAGTCTGTGAGCTGCCAAATGTTCTGTTCATGTTCAAGAGATCAAAAGGGACAAGTTAGACGAGGGAGCTATCAAATGCTTGTTGCAGGGAAAGAGCAGGGAGGAACGATTAAAAAGTCCCAAATTCACCTTAATTGGCAGGCAGCTACTTACCATCCTGAGGCCAAACCGGAGCTAGAAACTCTACATGGAGCAGTGACCAAGAAAGAAAGCTCGCAGGAATAAATGGAGATATGGGATTTGGGAAGAGTATTGTCAGTTAACTGGTTGCATTTTTTAGCTGCAGCATCACAATTAAATTGACAATGCTCGAAGTTGTATAGCATTTACACAATGTCAATGGACCTCGCCCGACGAATATTTGGGCTTTGTTTGAACTTATACTGTTAACGAAGGCCCATTGTTTAGCAGATGCTGGATTGGAGTGTCGAGGTTCCCGCTATATTCGGCGCGTAAATGAGAAGTTGTTAGTTGTTACCGGATAGTAGCACACAAGTAAGGCAGTAGCAGTTGAACACAGAAGATATTGATGTGGAAGAGTTGGAGAGAGAAGGGGAGCAATTGAGGAGGAATTAGAAAGGCTGGGAGCAGGTCGATTACGAAGCGAGTTAGTCTCAGGGAGCCTCGTCGGCATTTCATTTCTGCCGCCGCGTCCTCATCCACCGGCGCTCGAATCAGAAGAAGAGCGAAGAAGCGCGGAGGGCGAAAAGGAAGGGAAGTGATCGCAATTGAGATACCTGTTTGTGCTCCTCTTCATCAAGGTTTTGTTTCGAGAGTTTTGAAGGTAACTCCAATGGAGTTTATGAGGTTTCATTAGCGGTTTCTCTTTGTGTCCCCGTTGCGCTATTCATATTATGCGCGAATCTGCAGTTGAAGAATGATGGGCGAAGATCTTGGAGTGGTAGCGAAGGAGGCTGCTGTTCGTGAGGTTGCCAAGTTGTCACCGCCTCTGCCAGAGCTATTGCAGTCGATTTCCTCGATCAAAGCTGATTATCTGTCATGGCAACTGGTCTATTTCTCTCTACTTCTCTTTTTCATCATTGTAGTAGTTATTGCATCGCTGTTGAATTACTAACTAATCATGGCTAATTGTGACGCTGAAATGCATTTTCCAGGAAATGATGCTCAGCTTAGTACAATGGTGGTAACAGAGCAGGTATTTGTGTATGGAAAGCATACTACGTCGGCTTCTTTGTTATTGGCGGATCTCAGTAACTTTTGGTTTATAATGAATTGGTACTATACAATGTAAGGTTGAACAAGCAAAAGCTGGGCTAGCCTCACTTTCCATATCTCAGATGGCGATAAACCAGCTTCGTGAGAACTTTATCAGCATTGAGAGGTATGATGACAGATAAGACATTGAAGCAATTTTAGCATGTAATTTTATATTTGAATTCTGGCTTAGTAAACTTAAACTGACTTTATGAGTATGACTCCACTCATAATTTGTGTTTGTTTTGCCTGATTAGAATGCTTTAGGGTTTACCTGCTGTGCTACATGATTTTGTCGACCATTGTTTCTGTACATGTTTTATGGTGCAATTTAGTTTCTTCTGCTTTGGCTGGTCGAATTTTGTGAGTATTCTATCTGAATTTATCAGGCTTTGTCAAGAGTGTCACACCTTAATTGATTACCACGATAAGATGCAGCTCCTTAGCAACGCAAGGAATAACCTAAACACGACTTTGAAGGTGAGCGGCGGCGGCATGCTATAACAGTTACATATATGCTTTTGTCATTTATACCAAATAAATTGGAATTAGCAAACATGGAGGTGTTGATTCCTATTTATGTTTCATTGACTTTTGATGGAGAGAAGTATCCCCGGCGTCACTCTGCTATTCTACTTGGTTTCCATTATGTTATTTTTGCTGTGCTGTGCGACTCCAGTTTCTAAATTTGAGTAAATGAAAGATTCGGATTAATAAATGGGAGCTCAACATCACAGTTTTCTGTTGTATGAGCTGGTATTACATGCATTTGGTTAGGGTTAACCCAATAGTGGCATGCATTATAATTACCTTTACTTAGGAATAGTTGAAGCTGAGCTTTAACCATGAAATAGTGCTTGTCTATTGAATCGTTCATATTTACATGGTCATTATACGTTCGTAATGGATTCTGTTCTAAACTCAAGGTCCGATTAGAATCCAGATGATAAAATGCCAATGTTTGATTCGAGGGATGTAATTTATGGACCACTCACTTGGTCCTTGGATAAGGCTTATACAACTTGCTATTTTTGTTAAAAACACCCTAGAACAGCTGTCCAGCTTCAAGTAAGATGTATAATTTCATAATTGGGGGGTTTGCCTAAAAAAGTCCTCCCCAACAAGGATTTGGAGAAGATGATTCGTTCTATTCTATAATATTAGTTTCCAAGTCATAGCCTTCAGTTTCCTATTGGCAGTAACAGCCCTTATGATGTCAGTTTCTGTACATACGAGGGCCTGTACTTCAGATTTTATAATTAGATATCAACATGAATTTTCAGTCCTGCAAGAGGCATTCTTGTTTCTAAGGCTTATCAACTACGAAGTGGTGCTCGGAGTTTACCAGCAACTGGCGGTTCTTCATCCACTCTACCTATCAAAAACACTACTTTTTACTATTTCTGCTAAGTTCCAGCAGCCTGTTTCTTGTAAAGAATTGTACAGAAACCCTAGTTACATCAAGGTCTTAACTCCAAATCAATCACTTAGTAACTCTTTTACTTTCAGGGAACATTACTAGTTTCTCCTAATACTCAGACTAGTGAGTTTGGGACTGGTGTGGTGTTGATGCTGTAATGTCCATGAATTGCACTTATATAGTTTTATAGAACTTCAGAACTGTATGGTAAAATGATGGATAAGCTGTTCATTTTGTAGGTTGGCAATTTATATTACTATGCTATGGTGAACATGCTTTTACTGAAGTGATTTGGACTTAAATTTAAACCCTTTTGAATGCGTTAATCTCTTGGATCATGATCTTATTGGATCAATTGTAATTTGAATTCAGGATATTGAGTGTATGATGTCTATATCTGTTGAAGCAAAAGCAGCGCGAGATTCATTGTGTGATGATAGCGACCTTCTCAGTACTTATGAGGTAACCTAATAGTCTCCTTGTTTCTAAACTGGAAATCATTTTTTTTTTTTTATAACTTTTGAGGTCTGCTTGTTTTGTCAAAGAGGCTAACAGCTCTTGATGGGAAGCGAAGGTTTGCATTAGCAGCTATGGGATCTCATACAAACGATGTTGGAAAATTAAGGTTTGTGTCTTCTTTTAGAAGCTTGTAGCTGAATGAAGTTTGAATAGTAGAGATAAGAAACTGTATAGGGCAAAGAGATAAATTTATGAGATTGGCCAAAAAGATCCGTGATACCTAGCTGGTGAATTACCTTGAGAAACAACTAATATTAGCTTATACTTAGACTTAAAGCCAACTCCTATTGGTAGTTGATGGTCCACAGTTTCGCTTGGCTTTTGAGCACCTAATTTCCCAAATTTTAAGTGAAAAATTGATTAATTTGGCTTTGGAGCCCTTAATTAAATTGTAGGCGGATGAAAAAATTGGACATTGAACATTTGCTTCTGGTATGTAAAAGGAAGTGTTGCTGCTACTTTGTTCCGTTTTCAATTCAATTTGCACAGACTATTTCAATGTGTTTAAACTTGATTGATAATTGAAACTAGAAGCAGCCTCTCCTCATATTGGATTAGGGGATGCAATAATTTGATTGTTGTCAATGATAGAGGTCACCTGCTCTTACCTCCTGTAGCTATGCTTCAAACTAGAAGAAACTGCGAATAATTAAACCCCTTTTGAAAATATGGAGCTATTTAACTTTCTGATGATTTGTTCTGTAATTTAATAGTCTCTCTTTCTCTTTGTTCCGATCTAGGTAAATGCTTGAATATCAGACAATTGGTCCAATATGGTTAAATTTCTTGGATTTAGTTTGGATATTTGATTCTTAGGGGCAGAGGTTGAATAGCTGATTCTTGTTTCTTGGTTTAGGGAATATTTTGAAGACGTTGACCGGACTCGGGAGACCTTTGAGAAGACATTGTGGGCCCATGTAACCAACTACTATAAGCTTGCAAAAGAAAGGTAATTCTTGTGGTTTCACTCGACGGTGTTGTGTCTTTTCTTTTCTTTTGATTATGTTCTTGTGAAAGTAGCATGTCAACAGTCAATGTTGCATCTTTTGTTGATATATAACAGATTTCAATAGCATTCACAAGTGGTCCGAGGACGAGAAAATATTGTCTGGGTATTGTCCTTCATAAAGAAAACATGCATAACGTGCATACTTCGTGTATATGGAAGTGTCTGTTTTGAATATTGGACAGTATAAATGTATGCTCATTTTTATACCTTTGTCACAGGGATTGAAATACCTGTGTATTATACTATAATCCCTCGGTTTTTGTGTACGCGAATGCAAAGCTTTAATGCTCTTAATATTTGAATGGATATGTCAATGAATCATGCTCTACTTTTTTGCAGCCCAAAAACTTTGGTTCGTGCTTTGAGGTATGTTCTGTGGCAAAAATTTCCTGATCTCTCAATGCTTTAATCATGATAGGCTTTCTATTTCTGTTGCCAGTACCAAACCATTTTTTTAAAATCTGTTTATCTATTACTATGGAAGTCGAGATGGCTAGAGGCTGCCAGCAACTTATTTTCCTCTGCTGAAGACACCCAACAGGAAATCACTCTTAAGTTTAACTACAATCAGGAAAGGGATAGGAGAATAAATTGGAAGCTCACATGTTCCTATTATTTTTTCACTCTGCTAAGATTTCTTTGATTACGACCAGGGACTTACTAGTTTAGGCGAGAAGGTTGAGTTATACCTGTCTCAATATAACTGGTATCTATTGTAAATGGCCTTATGTTGTGGAGAATAAAGATGTTACTCGTATTATATTGTGTTGAATGTACTTTTGAAGCAAATTTTGACTCCAACAAATCCTAGATCTCTCTTCAGGAAACCACTGGACAAATATGAACAACTAACATGACAAACAACCATCCTTGTAACTTTTCTTCTGGACAATAAAGACATGACATGCTGATTGAAGTAGCTGGCAGAAACCTGAAATCTGAATCCAAACCAAAGCGCAAACCCAAAAGTGAAATCTTGGAATTATCTATGTACTGTCCGTGTTTTGGATATTTTTCTTTGTTGATAGTGAAACGGCCCAAATATGAAGAAAGTCTGAGTGAGGTTGGACTGATGTTAGATGAAATACATCATAAACTTTCTATTTTGTTCCCATATACAGGGTTGTCGAAATGCAAGAGATCCTGGATCAACAAATTGCGGAGGAGGCAGCTGAGGCCGAGCAAGCTGATGCAATGATGAAAGTCACTAATCCTCATCGATTTGTGAAGTACCTACTGCAAACTAATTCAAAATTGTGTCTTGGACACCACAGTATTTGAAGTTCTACCCTATCGACAGTTTGAAGTTGCATTTCCCCTTTTCTCTTGAAATAGCTGGTTGTAGCTGATTAAGGATTGATCGTTTCCTGATGAAGCAGAAAATCTATGGGTGCAAAAGCTTTTGGAAAAAACATGGCACAACGGAATTTAAGAGTTCAAATAAAAGGTTATAGGGACAAATGCTATGAGGTGATAAGAAAAGCGGTGGAGGGGCGGTTCAACAAGCTGCTGACAGAGGTCTATAAATTTCAGTTGTTTTTGTGCACAATTAAACTTATTTTGGTTAAACAATAAACACTATTGTTAGTCTGACCATAAGTTGTTCCGCAGCTAGTGTTTCTAGATCTTAAAGGTGCTTTGGAAGAAGCTCGAATGGTATGCTTAATCAACTAAGCCTTCTACATAGCTATGTTTGACCAACAATTCTTGTTAAGCTTAGTTGTCTGATGTAGTACACATATCTGAGCTTTCGACACCACAATAACATTTTTTTGTTTATGCATCAGATTGGTGTTCTTGTCTAACGTTAGCTCAACATTTGGCTGTCATTCTAGTCTATCTTAGAATAATGCTGCATTTACTTACATTGTTGTATTCTGAGTACTGGGGACCACAATAACATTTTTTTGTGCATCAGAGTGGTGTTCTTGTCTAATGTTAGCTCAGCATTTGGCTGTCGTGCTAGACTATCTTAGAATATTGCTGCAGTTTCCTTCCGAAGGGTTGATGTTTTGTGTACTTTGAGTTGGTCACATCATGAAATATGCGTTGTTTCTTTTTTCGGATTGGGGTGTGCGTGACGGCTAGATAGTGCTCTAGTGTTTTAAGCACCATCCCTGTGGCGGATGAAGCCTGAAGGACCTCCTAGTGTACCATCAAGTATAAGTGAGAGACTTCCCTTCAGAGGACTTGGGGAAGTATTGGTACGCTTAACCCTAGGTTTCGAATTTCTGGATCTTTGCTCCCTAGTCCCTAGGATGCACTAATTTGTAAAATCCTAGAATGAATGTTGCTATTGTTACTACCAGTTTCTGTGATTTAGTTAGTTCTTGAAAAGTGCAACCTTTATGGTTGGTTCTCATTTTATGACGTTCTTTTTATAGTATACGATATCCTCTAATACTAGATAGAAAAACAATACATCTGCTCTGACCTCTTTCTCCTTTCTAAATTCACATTTACTTCTTGTTCTACTTCCCCAAAGGGAAAGCATATGGAAACGGATAGAACCAGTGGGATTGCGGAAAGCATCAATATATATAAAAATAAATAATATTTGCTGCTTCGCAGAGAAGCATCAGGACACAAGATGAGAATGTTTATCTGCATTCTGACATCTTGGATATGTAATACCGGGTTAACTAGCAGTGGTTGTCAAGTTCATCAGATGACTGTATAAGAAAGTAGTACAAGAGTGAATTTTGTGGTTTCTTTTGACTGGTTATAGAACCATTCTTCATTCAAACATGCACCCATTGCCTAACATTTTTTTTCTTCCTAATGCAGCTGCATGGCAATTTGCCATTCAGCTTCTCCACTCATCAGCAGCCCCTAATGATGCCACTAGTTGCATGACTTTCTTTCAGTTATATCTACCCAACATCCCCCTTCCCCCTCCCTTTCCTTCGGGCTCTTGCACATGTATACTTTTCTATGCAGGTGTAGTTCTTGGTACCTGTGTACTTCTATTTTGCGTTTGTGGGTTCATCCTGCTATACTGCATGCTGGGGCTACAATCGAACATGCACAATTTGTTTTTGTTTGGGACTCAACTAGGTGGTTGGATATTGACCTGAGATTTTTTCATCAAATGTCATTGCTTTTAGATCCTAGTCCTGCTGATTCATAATAAAATTCGGCACTTTCTTTCTTTATCCTTGACAAACAGATTGGAGAAGAGCTTGGAGAAATTTACGACTTTGTGGCCCCATGTTTTCCTCCAAGGTTTGTCTCAGTCAAATCTCTGATTCTTTGATTTCTTTCTTCTTCTGTTACTTTGGTTATTGAGATATTGCTAGGTTCATTCATTGATTTATTATTCAATCTTACACCAGTGTTCTCTGAATTTCTTTCTTTAGATTGCTGGTTTTAGAATGTCGAGTTTGTGAATGAGACAAATTACACTGGAAGTGTGCAATATAAGACTATATACTTTGCACAGGATCTTCATTATTATAGAACCCTTTCTTTAATAGGGAATTACATTAATTGTTAATGAGTTTGTTAGAACATTAAAGCTCAGCGCTTACTATTTGAGCTCCTAACTCCGCTTGAAGTAATGATCCATCCACTGGGATGAATACTTTCATTAATACCTGATTAGGATGTTCCTGTCTTCATTTTACTTTTTTGGGACACACCACAAAGAGAGGTTTGAAAGTACAAAGAGAATAACTGGGGCATTCTTTGCATTCTAAATAAAAAACAATGCACGAGACAGCTTGGAGAATGAGAAATGTGCTGATTATGGGAGACCAATGGTAGATACTAGCAAAGGTAGTATAAGATTTTTCTGCTTCTCTCTCTCGCTTCCTAGTAGGCAGTTGTTTCATCAGGCTCAAGGATTTTATGTGTCTCAATATGGTCTGTCAATGGGGTTTCTTCTCTCAGTTGATGTGATGTATGCTGCACATTGCGCTACTTTTCATCAAAGAAAAAGGCTTTTACCCTTGTTTTGTTAGCTTAGCTTTTTTTAGTTAAATATCATCACTATTTTATTTAACTTCTTTGCTTGTTAGTTAAGTCATGCTCATGTATCAATTTCTCATCTTTACAGATATCAAATATTCCAGCTCATGGTCAATCTGTACACTGAGAGATTTATACAGATGCTCAGATTGCTGAGTGATAGAGCCAGTAAACTTACGAATATAGAGATTTTGAAGGTATACAATCCTACACATAAGCACTTTGAGCATATCGTCTGCGATAGCAGCAATTAATCTTGTGTGAGAGCTGGCTCTTTTCGCCAATTAATTAACTGATGTTGATTGAGAGACCAAATTGACTTGTTTTAATGTACCTTAGCATAAGAGTTCAATGCTGTCTTGGCTCAGTCCTTTTGCTTTTTTTCTTCTTCTTCTTCTTTTTTTGGTTACAAAGTACTTTTTTACCTAATTCTCGTGATAGTTAGTGTATTACCTAAGCCTTGATAGTGCTTCTTGCTTTTTGAATTATTGATATGGTTAAGCACCTAAGTTTTTACTGTTTCACGGGAATGAGTAGTGGAATTTATGTTGTTTGTCATTGGACGTATTGCAAGAATTTCAAACTAGTGGTGTTTTTAATCATCAGGATGTTGCAAGAGATTGCTGGTATGATATGCAAACAATTAAGACTACTGTTCTCGTGTAGCATTGATCTGCATCATTGTTAGAGTAGATGGTTGCAGTTGTTCTCACTGATTTGCGAAGTCTCCCCTAATAAGTTTCATAATTCATTCTAACAACAAAAGGTTGTTGTTAGATGCCTCGGTGATTTGTTTACGTCTTTTCTGTTCCATAGCCTTTTATCAATGGCATATGTATTGCTTGTTTATTCAATTTATCAATGGGTAATATGGTTTTACTGAAAAGCTACCATTGTGGTCCCTGGTAGTGAGAAGTCAGCCATATTTAGAACAATAAAAACTCACCTTACATAAGAGGGAACTCATAGCAATATTCCGATTATGGTTTTTTTTCTCGGCAAATCCCTGTGTATGGCAAAGCCAATTATATGGACTTTGCTGTCTGTTGTCGGTCCCCCCCCCCAGGCTTCAAGAAGTTTCATTGAAGGCTGTTCTTATCCTGTGAAATTGTTAACTGATGCCCCATCACTAGGTTACAAGTTGGGTGGTCGAATATCAAGATAATCTGATGGGACTTGGTGTTGATGAAACCTTGGCACAAGTATGTTCAGAGAGTGGTGCTATGGACCCCCTCATGAATTCCTATGTTGAACGAATGCTAGCTACGACAAAGGTAATTAATTATATGTTACTCTTATCACAAACTGAGAATTTTGAACTTATATGTATGGTTCTCGTGAATGGCTTCACTTGTGTAGAAATGGTACTTAAATATACTAGAAGCTGATAAGGTACAGCAGCCAAAGAGAATGAAGGATGGAAAGTTGTACACTCCAGCTCCCGTTGAATTGTTCAGGATTCTTGTGGAGCAAGTTCAAAATGTTAGGGACAACAGCACTGATGTCATGCTTTATAGAATTTCTTTGGCTATTATTCAGGCAAGTAAAATTTTGTTTTTTAGAGCTAAGTGGTTTGTGTGAGGTTTTATTTATATTCAGCTCATCTTTCACCATTGGAATAATAAGTTTTACATTGATCTTGCTTGCCAAATCATCCAATCAATTTCTTGTTCAACTGCTGTAAGGAGGCAATGGCAGGGGAAAATATATCTTGATTGCAAATAGTTGTTTGAACCAATTTGCATCATTTTCTTCATTAAACCTTTTTCTGCTGCTATTACTTATAAGGTTCCCAACGTTGCTCCCATAGAAATCAAACTACAACTGTCAAAACTTAGATCCAATGCTGATGTAACTCAATTATACAGTGCCTAAGTTGTAGCTCTGAATGCTTCTCTTCTTGATTTTCCAATGTGCTATTTGTCTTTCCTATATTTACAATCCAAGCTCCTTTATTTTAATTCTATGGGGTGCTCTCTTATTTTCATTTTATTTACTGGTGTTTGTTTAGGTGATGATTGATTTTCAAGCGGCCGAAAAGAAAAGGCTCCAAGAACCAGCTTCTGAAATTGGTTTCGAACCTTTGTGTGCAATGGTATGCGGTACTTATGTTCTTATTGATGTTATCGATGATGAAAACTTCTACATGCAGTTTACTCACTACTAAAATTATCTGCAGATAAATAACAATCTATGTTGCCACGACCTTGCAATGGAGCTCAGTACAAACATAGGTGAAGCACTTCCGCAGAATTATGCTGTACAGGTTATTATATTGTTCCAAACCATGTGTTTCCAGTTACGGAATATGCTCTCCATCTTGATTACATCGATCCTTAATGTGCGGTGCTTCGTGGATGGTTTGTATTCACTTAAATCCAACGTGTTGCTGCTTAGCCCTATAATTAGCAAATTACAATGCATCATGGATCAAAAGCATTGGCAGAGTTGAAGTCATGCACGCACCAACTATGTCACTCTAACTTGATAAATGATTGTTGACCCAAGGTCTGAACCTAAGTTTCCTTGGTTATTTTCAGTCCTCGTTACCACTAGTCCACTATACTAGCCCTTGCAGGTTTGTGAAGGAAATATGACTAAGGAACAAAGTAGAAGTTGAACATGGCTGTTCATTTCATGTTCTCTTGTTCTGTGGTTTTCCAGTTTGTTCGGTAACTGAGTTCCTTATCACTTTGAACAGGTTAGCTTTGAAGATGCTTACAAAGGCTTCTTGGAGGTTGCAAAGGTACAAACGTTGAATTGCTTTTTGTTGCTGTTTCTGGAATCGAAAATATTTTATCTGGCTGAAGGCCACCTGACTCCTTGCCTTATTTTTGCTTGGCAACCCCCTTGACTCAGTCTCTCTTCTTCATTTAGCACTTCAAATTTGTTTATTTAAGATACTAGCTTACACCCTGCCCTTTGGGCAGGTAGTAAACCTAACATAGATTAATTTTCTAAGCAAAACTGCAATATGTATTATTGTTTTGTAGTTTTTAATTTGGAAATATGTAGCTAAGTTAAGGTGTTCAACTTTTTATTGTATTCTTGGCTAACTCTATAAAACATAGATGTTTGAAATTTCCAAAGTTTATTATATCCATTCATGATATTTCATCTATCTATCTAACTCATTTTCTCGTGGAAGGTTTTGAATTGTTTTCTCCTTGATTCTGGTTTATAAGGTATGTACTTAGAATCTTATGTAAAAATTGTTAATGAAAATTTTACATAATACACTAATCGAAATAGTCATCAGGTTCATCGGTTTATATGGTATAAACCATGAAGTTCTAAACCATGAAGTTCTGTTGTATAAAATGTCGCACGGTTTGAAAAATAGTTTTAACTTTTAAGATTTGACAAATTAATATGTATTCTAGCATGTATAGATTCTCATTAATATTATAATATTTTTTGTGTGCTTAAATAAAATGACGGAGAACATTCAACTTAAACTTGAGTTTAAAACCGCCAGTTTCTCTTAGAATACTACACTAAAATTTTGTTCAAATCCTATTACGTAGAGGCAAATAATTGATAAAAAATGGTGATAAAGTACTAATTTATATGTAATTGATATTTAGTTATTTACTTTTTCCTTTTTAGTAGGTGCATTTGTAAAAAGGAGGAGAAACATACGTGTTTTATTTTTTATTGGGTAGAATTGTAAAAAGAAAGGAGGAGAAACGGGAAGAAGCAGTTACCAATTTTTTTCCCCACGAACCGTTGCTATTTATCAGAGTGTTTGAAACTTTGAATGGTAAAAACATGAATGTTTTCGTTTTAAAGGGTGCTGATATGGCAGCATAGATTTAGTTCAAGGTTGATGTGGCAGGGTGCTAATCTCAAACCCTTTTAATATTTTTATAGATAGATTGGACCCTATGATCTTTAAGAATCGGTGACTTGGTGCCATGATCACTCGACTATAGCTAATCGACAAGTCAACTGGACCTAAGAAGACTTTAAGGAGCTATTTCACCTGGGAGGAAACAAAATTTTAGGGGCTTCCTGACCCAAATAGCTAATTTCAGAGTGGCAACTGACCTTGAGCCTTTTTTTCATTTTCATTTGCCTTGTTGTAGCCGCGCCTTATAACCAGACTAGATCAGAGTGGTATATTTTGTAAGACCAACAGCGACATGAACTCCAGACTTAGAGTTGCAGATCAAAGTTTATTGATTAAGTCGTTATAGAACTTCAATTAGTATTCAATATAAGATTTTATCGACCCACAAAGTTTTTTTTGATGGAATTGAGTGGGTTATTTTATGGGTAGAGAATATACGGAACATGCAGGGGTTATACCATAGTGTGCGAGTATCTTCTTGCTGATGCATCCTCTAAAAGTTATCAATATGCAAGCAGGAGGGAGCCAACTATTATCAGAATGGCAAAAGGATGGGGCCCCCTGAGCAATAGAAGGACATACTAGTTGAAAACCGAAATAAGGCACAAATTTAAAAGATAATGTTGATTCTCTTGATTGACGAGTGGATAGTTATCCTCCTACGCAGTTAGCATCAGTCATGGACAGGATCCGCTACTGATTTTTCTCTGTCTTGTCAGAATGCATGTACTACAGATCCAATATCTAGATGATTTACATAGCTGACTTTACTTTTTTCCAGGGTTGTCCACTCTGTTAAAAAACCAAGCAGTTAGTATGCCATTGTGATTTTATCAAATATTGAGTATGGTCAATGTGCTCCTTTTACTTTCTTTTTCCATGAATGTGTATTGTTGATTTGGAGATGAAGCGCTTGATGGTTCTTGATGCATTCTTTGTTTATTCTATAGATTGAAATTTGGGTGCAGGCTTAGTGTGGTACCTCATATTTCTAACGAAGTTTGATATCCTCTTTGTGCAAATTGTTGTAATTGTAGGATACAGTGCATCAAACAATTAAGGTTATCTTTGAAGAGCCAGAGGTTGAAGAGTTGCTTGTCAAGCTTTATCAGAATGGTAAATTTATCTTTTTGAAACTGAACTGCTGAACTAAGTTGAGATAAAATCAGATACGTCCGGTAGTTATCTTGTATGTGCTGTGATCACTGCACTATACTGTCAGGTTGGTCACGTTTCTTGAAGTCGAAAGTTACTGATTAGGTTCTGCAACTATAGGAAGTGTGACTGTCATTTCAATCTTAGATCTTAAACAGCATAAAAGAAACAAAGAAGAAATTAGGTAAAGTTTGCTTTACCTGCCTCAAAAGCCAAATATATTGTGGTTTTACTGATCTAGTAGTGACTATCCATGGTTCATGCATCTGCTAGTGAAGGACAGAAGCATACTTAGTGAACATTTAGCTTGCGCTTCGAAGTTAAGGGTTTACCAATTCCTTGGAGTATCTTTTCTATTAAAAATAGTGTGTGGATACCAACATATCATCTGTTTCCCATCTCTATGAGAATTTATGACGAGCCAATGGTTTTTTGATTGATTGAAGGCCCTCCTACCATATTCAATTAACTTTCGAAAATGCTTACCCAACAAATATTCAGAATTCAAAGTTTGGGCAACTCAATAGCGTTGACAATACCGAATCTGATCCAAGTTGTGTGATGGAAGAACAAAGCTACTGTTAGCTATTCCTTTCTTTTTTTTGGTTGATAAAATGCTTTCAGACCTTGGTGTGTCCTTACTTGCAAGTCTGCTCATTTGGTGGACCCAAATATTACTTAAGCTCAAATACATGCTCAATAGGTGGCACATTTTTTTTGTTGTTGTGCTAATTAAGAATGTATCATCTTGTAGTTTATCAGGATTTTATCTGATCTCATCTTTCAATTGACATATACTGAACTTGTCTAAGACTGACTTCAACAAACCATCAAGTATGGTCACTGGAGCAAATGCATGACCTTGAGCATTAGCTTGCTGAGCTACCTCAATTCGACTCTGATTGCAATCCTATGTCCTAGGGATTGGCTGATGCTGCTACTTTGTTTGCTCTAAAAGTTATCATTTCAGTTCGCTTCTAAGGCATGCAAGTGATAATTGTGGTTTGCTTTCGGCTTTCTTGTGTCTTGCTTCTGAATCTGGGTCTTCTTGTACCTCAGAGTGGTTGGAAGAACAGGTCTCTGAATACCTGGTTGAGACATTTGATGATTATTTCAAAGATGTGAAAATGTAAGTTCCGTCACACTGTCTCATTCGTGTTTCTACGTTAGTGTTTCAGCTCCCTTTAGTTTTCTCGAGAAAGCTTAGTTCCCACTAGTCTTCCCCATCAGTAGTTTAGATACCGGTTTAGATACCTAACCATCAAGCCATGGTTGAGCTTGGGATGTAAGTTCTTCACAGACCTTCGCCCAAGGCATGGTTGAGCTTCCAAAACCGGGCCGTGTTTTTTTTTATTATAAAAGGGAGGCAATTATGCCAAGGAAATCATCTCCGCACCCATGAACACCATCGCCGCAGTGCGCATTACATCAAAGTCAGCTCTCGAACTTGATAAGCCAGACACCAGAAATAAAACCGAGCAGCAGGAAAAACGGACAGAATAGAATCTAGCACAAAATCTAACTCGAGGGGTGATGCTGTACATGTCTAGCGAAGCTAACTCCTAGAATGTCATCCTTGCAGACCCTATCGAGTTCCAGTGGTGGATCGTCTAGCTCATACGTACCAAAGGGATAGACGAGACTGTGCTTACTCTATTCACTTCGCGATACGTATGAACCAGTCGGACCACCCACTCTCTAGCCAACCGAGCCGTGTTTGGCTTTGGTTATTTAGTTATGAAATCTAGAAGTGTGTAGCTTTTAATGCTTCGAATCTTCGCATAAAGAGCTCCAATATGTTAAGTGTAACTAAGATAATACGATTTAAAAGATAAAACTAAAAAATTGTGATCAAGATTATATAATTGCCCTCTTATTTGGTCTAATATGAAGAAGCATGGAATATTTGAATCATACATCTAGACGGATCTGACTTCAAGTGCATAGCATGTCATTAGTATCTGTAAACGAATGGTTAGCAGAAGAATGTAGAAGGTTCTTGGGAACTTGCTTTTTTCTTAATTAATTAGACTTATTGGTGATGGATTGATGTGCTTAATGTGGACCATCTGTACAATCCATTAGTTAGCAAAATGTTGATCTGAGCTGTTACTAGTTCTTGTTTGAAGAAGAGAAATCAGATGATTTTGTGATATCTTCGTGATGGTGTAGGTACATTGATGAAAGATCTTTTCGAAGATTTATGGAGGCTTTTCTGGAGGAGACAGTGGTGGTTTATGTTGATCATTTTATGACACAGGTTGGATAGTGATCTCGTTTGGTAGAAATATTGCACACATTATTATTTTGCTGCTAATAGAAAGGTTGGAGTCTCTTCCTTTATTCCTCTGTTTAAGCCAAATTCCTAATAATGTAATTGTGATGCATCGTTGTAGAAAAACTACATAAACGAAGACACCATAGAGAGGATGAGGCTTGATGAAGAGGCTATAATGGACCTCTTCAACAAGTACATCAGCGCCTTTGTAAGTGCTGACTCCATTTTTTTACCTGCAGTCTTGTTAGCAATTGCTCCTAAGATTCATCTCACATTGCTGGGTGTTCTTTTTCCTTTTATCGTTATTTCTTTCATAAATTTTTTGTTGCTTTCTGGGATTTGCTCCAGAAAGTGGAAAACAGAATACGGATAATGAGTGACTTGCGAGAACTTGCTTCAGCAGAGAGTTTAGATGCGTTTACACTTGTCTACACAAGAATTCTGGAACATCAACCAGACTGCCCGGTAAACACTAAGTTCTCTATTCTCTCCATCGTATCTCGCTCACCGTTACCCTAAACAATCAGCGAAGGGAAAGACAAAGCATGTGTTTGACAAAGTCTGTTTTTATTTTATCTTTATTAATTTTGTTGGGCAGCCTGATGTAGTCGAGAAGATCATTGGCTTGCGAGAGGGGATACCCCGGGAGGATGCCAAAGAGGTATGAGTTATGTCCTCTTCGAATTTCCAGAATGCACATTATGTAGTACTCTATTAACTGAATATTGTGGCTGAGTTCTTATTATACGAGTTCTATCTTGTGAGAAGGTTAGTTTGCTGTTATCGTGAAATACGCAGGTGGTACAAGAATGCAAAGAGATATATGAGAGCTCGCTTGTGCGTGGTAACCCACCAAAGAAGGGGTTTGTCTTCTCAAGGGTGAAATCTTTATCTGCTTCCGAAAGGTATATCTGACGAAAGCTAACTTGAAGTGTCGAACGACTTTGGGCCAGGAAAATGTATCGCTCTGAACGATTCTTGAAGCAGAAAAGAAGAATGGCGTTGCTTGTGTCTGATGTTCTTTTTTTGTGTGTGTGTCTTAGGCTTGTAGTTATGCAGGCTATCGGTGGTAATTTGATCTTTTGTTAACACTTCTTCCCCTGAACTGGATTTAACCCGATTTGTTATCATTGGGACTTTCCGGAACAGGCAAACACGATAGCTAGCAAGCTAGTTTCGTTTCTAAATGTGATGGCCTATGTTCATGCTTTTGCTCGTCTGAAAACATAATTACTAATTCCCCTGGTTACCAAATCTGCTGATACTCTGATCAAATACAAGAGATGTTAGCTTTGCATTTTACGAGTGGAAACAGAGCTATGGTAGAGCAAGGTTCAAACAAACTTTAAAAAGGTTCTGCCCTCATTCCTTGCGAAGTCACAAGTCCAGCGGCAGTTTGATGACAAGTTTGGCAGTTTCTTCTGCTTCTGACGAGCTACTTCTTCTGGTTCATTTTAAGCGGTAAAAAGAAGCAACTTGGGTGTCTTTGGCTTCTGCAAGTGTTGGCTCGCTGCAAGATGTTGATGTTGATTACCGTGGAAGGAGCAGAAATCATTGTGGTAGTTTCTTTACTTTGATGGTTGTGCATAAATATAGAAGCATGGACATGGATACCAATATTCACTGGAACCGAAGATGCAGACGATCTATAGCTCTGTCATACTAGTCTCTGCTGCACCTTGAACATTACATGCTAGATAATCACTTTTTCGGGTATAGAAAATTCCAGTTGGTTTTCTGGAGGAAAACCAGAGAAGATCAAACACTGAGAATAAGTTCTTCATAAGTCTGCTAAGAAGCTGTGTTCTGCTTAACATAGGGTGACCCATTCGAGGGAACACAGGTTTCTAGCTTCTGGTTGTTTTGTTGGAGAAACTGAGATTTCTTGTTTGTGCTCTCTGGAGTTGCTTACCAAAAGATTGAGTGGGCGTATTGGTGCGAATGAGAACGTGCAGGTGGGTATAGATAAGTTGATATTCAGCATAACCAATAACGCCATCCTCTGGATATCATCTCAATATGTTACATTACAGGTGTTCCATAGGTAGGATTATTCAACCCAGTGATCCTCATCCTATAACTCGCAACTTTTTCCAGTTTCATGTCTATGTGTACAAGGATGAAGAAGAAATGAAACAAACTGCGGGATTGAGTGTAGATCACTACTGCAACAACACGAGAAAGGTCTCTAACGACGATGCATGGTTCTTGTTATGAACTTATGATTGATCTTCTCCAGGTCTGGTAGTTTCTGCCACTTCCACGAAGATCAACCTCCCATCCACAATCTGGACACAGATAACCAAACACACAAGGGACAAATGAATCACTAGAAATGAACACCTCTGACCGCTGCTCCAAAGGTTTCACATGAATGAATAAATCAGCAAAAACTGGGAGCCCTTTTCTCCAACAAAATGGGAAGCAGTAACATCGAAGTGGGTTTACTTACCCTGCCATCCAATGCCTTCATAGCTTTTTGAGCGTCGGACTCCGACTGAAACCTAACAAAGCCGAACCCTTTCGGCTTCTTAGTTCTTGGATCAACAACTAGTCTCGCTACAGCAAACAAAAAACTCGAACAACTTCAAACCCTAATCCACATTTTACTTGCCAAAACTGAAACGCAATCCGGACGGCGGCGGGAGATCGCTTTTTTTCTGTACCTTGTTGGATGACGCCGAAGGGTGCGAACAAGTTCTCCAGTCGCTGGGTGGTGATGTAATTTGACAGTCCTGCCAGGGCAGCCATATATAGAATTAGAAACCCCGAGGGATGTGCTGGACAGATTGAAGCAAAGAAATGGAAGGAAGGGAAACAGAGAACAGGTTTGGATTCGCAACTACTAACAAATAGCTCCGCTCCAGCTCTTTTGGCCATATTTCTCTGCCGCTTGTTCCGCCGGAAAGATGCGCCGCGTTGATAATGATTGGGTTCGGAATTCAGGCGACGGCTGTTAAATTAGGGGGAATGAATCTGCAACACAGAGCTTTGGTGAAACATAACGTATCATCGTCTCTTGTTGAATGGGCCAACCTTGACCTAATTTTAGTCCACGATCCATGGCTCGGGCCCAACCCAACTACAATTTATCTATGAATCATTTCTTTGCGATGATTTAACAGTTAAAAGGTTATTACTTGTTTGGTTGAATCTTATGAAAAAAATGAAAAGGGAGAAGATAGTTCGTTGAATCTCTGTGAAATTGAACACAACCAAACCGATAGTGTATTTCAGTTAATAATTCCAGAGAACACAGCCTTGATCGAGCTGATCCAAGCTACAAATTCAAAAGTTAAACTGCAACACATACCGCAAACAGTAGCAGACAAGCATAAATCTAGAACCCTAATCCTACCCAGATACAAACATACACAAGCCGCTCAGTCCCCAATTCTTCCCCAACAGACCGAAACCCTAACGAATTCAAGAGCTGGTGAACTTGGTGACGGCCTTGGTCCCTTCAGACACGGCGTGCTTGGCGAGCTCTCCGGGCAGCACCAATCTGACGGCGGTCTGGATCTCCCTGGAGGTGATGGTGGGCTTCTTGTTGTACCTCGCGAGCCTGGAGGATTCCTGGGCGAGCTTCTCGAAGATGTCGTTGATGAAGGAGTTCATGATCCCCATCGCCTTGCTGGAGATCCCGATGTCTGGGTGGACCTGCTTCAGGACCTTGAAGATGTAGATCTTGTAGGTCTCCACGCTCTTCTTGTTCCTCTTTTTCTTCTTGTCGGCGGCAGCGGCGCCTCCTTCCTTGGGGAGCTTCTTGCCGGCCTTGGGCTTCTTCTCCGCTGGGGCTTTCTCGGCCACCGTCTTCTTCTCCTCGGCGGGTTTCTTCTCCGCGGGCTTCTTCTCTGCCTTGGGTGCCATTTCTGAGGTTGGGTTGGATTAGGGTTGGCTGGCAGATATTTTTTTCGGGTTGAGGAGAAGAAAGGAAAGCAGAGATCGGAATTGAGTTGTGTGTGAGAGAAAAGATAGGTGGCGGGTTGTTTATATATATGGAGGTTATGAGGTTGTGATTGGTTCCTGGGGTCTTGTTCAGGATCGCTGACGTGGTGCTTTCGGACCGAGCGATTCGGATCAGTAAGTGAGTTAATCGACGGTTGAGAGAGAGTTTGTTGGACTGGCTTATATTTTTTTTTCTAGTACTAGCACCCGGATGGATGACGTGGATAGTAACTGGGTCTGTGTGCCTGTGTCCCATACTCCATCCAAATCCAACCATACGAATTGGGCTGTGCACTCCAGGATCCAAACTGATTTCATTTAGGCGCGAGAAATAAGTCATCTAAATTTTAGAGACAAATGAGTCGCAATTTTTTTTTTTTTTTTGCAATTTTTTTTTCATATTGATTCGATCACACATACTGAATGTCAACCAGGCCTGGAAATCATAATATCGACTGGTAGCCAGAAACAAAATAAGGGTCTTTCTAGCCACCAAATGGGCTACCCTATTGTTACTCTGACCTACAAAACGAACTTTAAGCGCACTATGACTTGCAAACACCCCAACAATCTCTTCCAGCACCGCCCCAATCTGAACATCATGCACATCCCGCTTAGTAACCTTGTCAATGATAATCTGAGCGTACCTTTGAAAACAAACCTCTTGAAAGCCCAACTCCAGACACCATGCCACTGCTTCCCGAAGAGTCAGTACCTCAGCCACCAAAGGGTTATCAATGTCCGGAAACTGCACACCACGAGCCAGCACAATATTCCCAACGAGATCTTTAAACATGATCCCACCCGCCGCATGTGACCCAGGCTTGGTTGCACCATCCCACATACAGGTGACTGACTGCACCATAGCAGACGTACCCGGAGGCAATGTAGTCAAAATCCCGATTTTAATCTTAAAATCTTACGATTTTACGATCTTACCTATGGGTTCCGATCATGAATTTATTGTAAAATCTTTGAACCTTAAAATCCCGATTTAAAACTCTAAAATCCTTAAAATCTACGATTTCTACGATTTTGTACGATTTCAAGGTTCACATCAATTGGAGCAAAATGAGGCTGGTCAAGTCCGGTTCTGTCCATAAACCAAGTCAAGTTTACTTCTCACGACCCAACATAATGAACAACGCAACCCTAACCCAATAGACAACACTCAATTTATTTTCATTCTCTTCCTCGTATCTTCCTCTTTTGCACGTCGACGCCCAACTCCTTCCTTCAACGATATCTTCCACTCTCCCAATTAGCTTGTAGATTTTTCCCACCACCCTCACAAAAATCCAAATCTCCATTCCATTGCAATCTTTCGTTCATCTCTCAATCCTTCAGCAGCACTATCCCCGACCTTTTATCAATTAAGAAGGGAATGCACCAATCAATGAGTTATCTTTGTGATCAAGGAAATATGGTTAATGGTGAAAGTATTTCAAGTGATCTTAAGAGTAATTATATTAGTCCTTAAGCAAATAGACAAGGATGAGAGTTAGAGTTACAGTTACAGTTACAGTTAGAGTTAGAGTGATGATGATGATGATGATGATGATGATGATGTATAAGTGATATTAATGTTGATCCCTAACGATCTTATGTAATTTTCTACTCTTAACTATTAATTAAGTGATTTCATTGGGGTTTCAGGTTGCTTATTTGTGTGTTTATATTGTGTACAATAATAGATATATGGATTTAGTTGTATTTATTTAGCAAAAAAACTTATCTTGGAAAGTAATTATGTTATATGTGGTTGATTGTTATTCAGGATATGCATTTTTATTACTATCTGGTGTTTTAAGTGATTATTTAATATGAACCCTAAAATCTTACGATTTTACGATTTTAATCTACGATTCCGATTCTACCTTAGTTTTCGATTTTACTTAAAATCCCGATTTTGACTGCATTGCCCGGAGGAGAGAGCGGAGGATGCAAACCCTGAGCCAGGTCCATGGGGAGTCTCACCCATTCTTGGTAATGCTGATAATACTGCCGCAACAGTACTAGTATCCCAAATTGTTTTCCTTCAAAGACCACCCAGTTACGTGATCGCCAAATACGCCAAAGGATCGCAACCACAGCAAAAAAAAAAATTGCAATGGATGCAGAGCATCTCAACTTTTATTCACAACAAGACGAGGCTTAGAAATGCCTTGACGATCATACAGCAGGAAAGGAATAAAATCGGGATCAAATACAGAGATAGAATGACTACCCAATGGGAGGGAGTGACCTCGACTAGCTAAGAAATCAACAAACTTGTTACCCTCACGGTAACTGAGGGAAATAGAGACTTCCCAATCAAATGAGTCGCAAATTTTAAAACATCTCACTTGTTGAAATTTTAAATATTGCAGAGAAAATTATTTTGATCATAAATTTATTGATTTCATAAATTGAGCAGAAAGTTATGGTAATTGTGGGATTTGAAAATAGCCTTTTGGTCTAGATTTGGATTTTGAAACCTTAAAAATTTAGAATAGATTTGGTGCATTGTGCTTTTGTAAAGTGACGTATTTGCTACATAGATTTGATCATCGACTTAAGGATTAGGAATTTATAACTTCAAAAAGGAAATTACCACATTATCCTTGTTATTTCTTTTATTATTATCTATCTCTTCTTATTACCACCCGCCTTAATCCGAGATCTTTCTTTGCAAAAGAAAGCCAACACCGTTAGGGGTGGCAACGGGAAACCGGTATTTGGGTATACTCCCGTCTCGTTTTTTTTAGGGTTACGGTTACCCAAATACCCATAATTTATTTTACGGGATGAAATTTGGGATCAAGAATCGCTACTTTGAGTACCAACAGGTTACCCATTAATACCCGTTTTGGTATTACGGGTACCCGTTATACCCATTAGTTCAAAAGCCCAAAACCCAACCTCACGACACAAGCAATGAGAAGCTATGTAACAGAATGTGACAGTTTAATCGACAATCCAATTAGTTGCACCACACCTTCTTTGTGAGTTCATAGAGACTTTATTGGGCAGAGATGGCATAAATTGTCTCAGGCATTAGTATTATATCATACTCATCAACTGGATTCTTCCTTGAGCTACTCTTTGTGAGGAAGACACTGATTGACTTGGCTCAAGTCTTCAGCAAAGCTTTAGTTTCAACAATAGAGAACATGGGGTCAACGCGGTCATGTCTATTACATGACCGCAAGGACTCGGTGGACAGGATCCATATTTTCTAGGGCCTGGATTGGATGGGTACCCGTTATCCGTCCTGTACGGGTAATTGGTACTAATCCGTACGGGTTTGGAACATAGGATAAAGATTACTCTCCTAATGGGATTGGGTACCCATTTCAAACGGGACGGGTTCCCGTCCCGTTGTCCACCACTAAACACTGTTGACCCCCAGCTTCCTTTACTCTCATCTCCACCACCAACATCCAACTTACCCAGTGGTGTGGGAGCCTTGTAATAGTTGTGCGCATCATGCTTCTAGTGGCGGCATCTTAAACCCTCATTACAGTGGTCGGTTCGTTAACTTTACCTTCGTTTGTGTTGGTTGGAGTCATATAAAATATCTTTTTATTCTTCTCTATTCATATGATGAATGAGTAATGACTATGATGGTTGGTGCTCGTGTGAATTCATTTAAAATGAACCCCCAAACTCATCTCATGGCTAGGGATGGAAGTGGTGGATGACTTCCAATACAACAAGGAAGATGTGACTTAAGATGGTAGGCATAGGGCTTCTCTAAAAATTTATCGCACAACCACGAATCCGAATCACAAAAAATTTTGATGCCATAATTTTGGTTCAAATGTATGTATTCCTTTCAAAAATGTTGACATTCCCTAGTGTCACTAAATCGTCGAATTAGTGATTTGCCAAAGTTTATTTGCATTTGTGTGCAAGCAGTGAACCTTGTAATTTCTTTGAGTAGTACATAAGAGTTGCTATGCTCATATCGACAAGAATATTGTAGGAAATAGTTGTGAAGTAACACTAGAGAACGAATAGCTTTGTGCTTTGTTAGAGAGACTTGGTACTTGTCTTGCCAATGAGGGTGTTACACCATTTTGTGTTGATATAGGTGAAGAGTTTCATATTATGATGCATAGGCTGGAACATTTGGAGTTAGAGTTTTAAAGGAGGAAGCTGTAACAAAAGTTGTATAATCGTGCGTTGAATTTTGTTGAACATTCAGCATAGTTAGCATGTGTTTATTCGTATGGATGAACCTTTGATTGATGTTGCAATGTAAACTGTTGGGAAGTGAATGAAAGATTAATTTTCCCTCTCATGGATTTAATGAATGTTGTTTAAAATGTTGGACATGTTGCAGCCAGTACGTACCTTTTTGTTTTAGTAGCATGTATAGTAAAATTTGCAACAAGTTTACATAAAAGAGGATATTACCATGTTCCCATACATTACAGTAACATTCTTACATATATTGTAATGAACCTCCTAATACTACTACACACATGTTGGACTGAGAAATAAACTTCATTAAAACCAAACTATTCACACTTAACAAGATCCTAGGCACTGTCAAATCCTAGTGGATTTAATTTGGCAAAAAAAAAAAAAAGTTTCTCATACCATGCCACATTTGTTGTACAAAATCTTACTAGAGAAAACTAACTAACTCCAATGATGGTCAACATGGTAGACTCCTCACAAAATAGAAAGCGATCCTCTTGTTCTCAATAACATAAAAGAGTCATGTCTTCAATTCATTATCCACCGGAGTCATTGCAGCATCAATGACTTGGCATCGTGTTAATCCACCAATTTTGCTTATCTCAACCATGAGTGCAACTTGTTTACTGTTGTCATTATCACAATCACCTAGTATGGGTCAAAGTGCTTCTATACCCTTGCAAATGACAAACTTCAGACCATCAAACTCGTATACAACATTTGTTATAGCTTTATCATTGTTGACCTCGACCCTTTTAGCCTTCTTCTTAACAGCGGAGTTGCTGCCAACTGCACCCTTTGCAGATGCCCCACCCCTCCTTATTGACTGA